TACTATATATATATATATATATATATATATATATATATATATATATATATATATATATATATATATATATATATATATATATATATATATTCATTTGCTTCTTTTTTCCTGCAAAATGCTGAATACTTCTTTACTTGACTTGGTTCTCTTGTGATGGCTATCATGGGATCCCTGTGAACATCACAAAATGAATTGAAAGAGTGTATGACACAAGCATTGGTGTAAATCTTGAATTCATGGTCTTCTCAGAGATGATTTCTCTTCCAGACTGCCATCACAATATCTATCTTTCCATCCTGCTCTCTGCTTGCTGTGATGTTATCAGCTTAAAACATCATCTGCAAGCTAAAAGTTTGGATCTTGCATGACCGGAAAGATATTGTCATCAGTATCCCACTCTTGAAGCTCATTGCCTGATCACCATTTCATTTTCTGCAGTCCATTTTGTCCACAAAAGAACACTCGGATCACTCTGCTGTTCTGTTCTTTTGAAGACAAGAAGCACAGATATGAAGCATTTCTTTAATGCACTTACAAAACTTACCAATCACTTGTTATGATATCCATCCTCTGCAAAAAAAGCTAATGTAAATTGAAATTAGAAAACACAAGAAAGCAATTTGAAGTCATGCAAACCTCTTTTCATCTTATTTATTTGACAGCTGACTGTGCCAACACAGAAATTATATGAGTCAAATCTAAACATTTTCTTTCTGCAATTTTTCTTGGTGCCTCCTACTTTTCACAAATCTAGCAGTGAGTGCACTTGGCACTCTACCTCGATGCCTGCCTCAGCCTTGTCTTTCCAAGAGGACCAAAACACTTTTATTCTCCTCAATTCTGACTACAAACATCTAAATGAATAAAAGCATAAAGAATGTTAATTATGTCTCCTTTTTCTTTCTTTTTTGCCTGTGATTTCTCTTTTTCTGCAAAAGGAAGGAAGGAAGGAAGGAAGGAAACTACCTCGGGAATCCCTATGAGTGGGCAAGGAAACAAGTAATGAACATGGACTAATCATATGTATTAATGATCATTGCCTTGGCTTAACTTTGTCTTCTCATCTTCCTCTTCTTCGTTCTCGCCTGCGCCTTCATCTCCTTCAGCGATGTCCCCATCCGGTTGGACTAGCTGCAGCGTAAGTCGGCCATCTTGGCGAGAAGCACGCAAGAACTCCTGAGTTGGGATCCTGATCTCCGTCAGAACAAACCTCCCGTCCTTCCTGTAGGATTGGTAGTAGATCCATGGCCTGCCACTCTTGCCGATGGAAGACACCGGTGGCGGAAAGCCGCCTGTCCTCGTCCTCACGTCGGAACAGTTTCCCGACATCCCACCGTTGGCGAGGGCTCGCCTTTCCGCATCCATCTTCTCCTTCCATTGATCACTGCTCCAGTCATCGACGTCCTCCTCGATCAGGTCGTCGACGTCGTCGGAGCTCTCCGACCCGAGCCTCTCGGTGCAGAGCTGCAGCTTGTCGGAGTTCTTCGGGGGAAAGCCGTCGTGGCACCTTGCGAATGCGGAGCACACGTATTGGTTGTTGGGCAGGCCAAGAAGCGCATGGAAGGACGAGTGGCTGGCGCATTTCTCTTGGCAGAGATCGGACAAGTCGAAGGACAGAGTTCGATCCACCGCGACGGGGGGAGGTACCGTTTGATGGATTGAAGCCGGAGGCGGCGCGGGCTTCTCCTGGAAACGGAGCTCGCCGAGGATCTCTGTGAAGCGGGCATTGTCCACTGGTTTCTTGGACATGATCTGGTTCCATGACGACAAGGACTCGATCAGCGTCGGCTTCTCCGGCACTGGCTTCTCGAACAGCGAAGTCAAGCCACCACAGGCAGCCATGATCTCGACGTCGATCGGAGACCTCGATCAGAAACGATCGACCTGACGAGGGAGAAGCGTGTGGGGAGAGGGGAAGAACAGCCAGGAGACGGGTTGGAGATTTGAAGGAGAGGTGGTGAAGCTACGATCGTGCTATAAATTCCTCGAGGATTTAGCAGTTAGAGCGAAACAAGGACGGGTGGTGGTGGATTCTTTGACATGTGGTTTGATTGACCACATGCCTCTTCTGCCTCGATGCGACTGCTTCTGCGTTGAACCCTCTCCCATCTGGAGCATCGTACGGCTGCGGGGATGATCTCCCTGGTGGGTCCTCCCGATCGACGGTGGTGGTGGCGGAGCCATGGCACGGTTTTGGAGTCTGCTGAGCCTCCAACTTTGCTGGAAGTGAAAAGTGTATGGATAAGCTTGGATTTCAATAATCATTACCACCATTTTATTAGATCAAGCCATGCTTTTAGTTGGTAATCCGTATGGAGATTAGCTACTTGTGGCTTGTGAGATTAATGATCCATCTTTGAGGTCCTCACAGTATTGCTTATCATCAAAGATTCAGAAGCATGCAAGCTAGAATATATAATCAATCATTGCAAATAAAAGAAGATGTTAACAGTTAATCTTAGGATCAAATCTCGTTTTCACCAAATGTGCAACTCTTTATAAAAACATGACTTGGATAGGTGCAGGCAAATTACATTCAGACAAAGGTTGGAGATGCAGATAAGATCATACACCATCCATCCATTCACATTCATTCATTCATTCATCAACTACAAGTCAATGAGTTGGCAATGACAGTCTCAGCTGTCTGCTATAAATTATCAGGCCCTGATGTAGAACAAAATAATAAGCACATTTTGATCACTCAATACTCTCGGAGAAACCAGAAAGAGTTCTGGGATGTGTGAGAACAGGATAAACATACTGGACACAGAAGCAGAAAACACCTGGAGCAAATCCATGTCAGATACTGGTTACAAAACATAACAGTTTCATCTCCATGCTTCGGCACGATCAGTCTCTGAATTTATACGACTCACGATACTGGCCCCTTTAGACCTTTCGGCTGGGAAGGATGCGTGATGTAGTTTTCCCTTTCTTCCTTTCTTGTGGTTGTGGCCGTTCAACCGACCCATCCTTTTCCTGCGATAATTAGTGTGAACTGCATTAGAACCATCAGCCGCTACATCGTAGCCGCTTGATGAACCACCAGTTTGTGCTGCGTTCGTGGGGAATGCAGTTTCTTCAGAGGCAGCAGCAGTGGCACAGAAGGTCTGAGGACTAACAGCTGCCTCATCTATTGTCAATTTAGGAACTTGGGTAAGAATATTGAAGACAGGTTTCTTGGTAACACAAACTAGCTCGACTGCCTCTTCACTACTAGCCTCGAGATGAGGCTTAGGGCTGTAATGGCCGTCGTCATCAGATGGATCTGCATCATAAACATAAGCAACTTCCAAAATAGATTGTTGTCTCTCTTTAAGTGTCCTTACGATCAGCATCCTCAAAAAATTCATCACTTGCACTACATACATCAATGCAGTCAAAGGATCCGCCACCTACGAGTTATGATAAAAGATGGATAGATGTTTTAGTATGCAGTCCAGAAAATTGAAAATATACTTTGCACAGAAAAGAAATGATGATGGGAAAAAGGGGGTCTGAAGAGGAAGTGAGACTAATTACACATGCGATTAATTACCTTAGTCATGTTTGGAGCAAACACTGTTGCAACATTATGTGCATTCATCTTGTTTTGTTGTTCTTCTTGGGCAACGTCAGCCATCAAATTGATGGCCCAATCCAGTAGAGCAGCTTCTGTTGGTGGTAGCAATCTAGTAATATGATCACAAGCTTCCTCTGTTTGGCATTGCATCACCTGCTCAGATGAAAGAGAGTCCAACAACCCCATAGGAAGTTCTCTAAACCAGGCCTGCAGAATAATACAAAAATAAAAAACCCTGGAATACTGCAGAGGGTAAATTTTTTGGAAGACAACTTTTCCAAAGATAATGTTCGCAGCATATATTTACTAAGGGTATTGACCTTTTTTAAAGAACAAGAGCATATAAAGAAGTATCCGATAGAGAAATGACATGAAATATACACAGAGGTAAGGATAGCATGATACCCAAGAAACAGAACCGTAATGACATCAACAAAAATCAACTAGTAAATTGACTTCTGCCATGGTTTTATTTTCCAAAACAATGAAACTGCTTCCAGCTCCATATTGCCAACACATTTTCGTGCTAGAAACTTCAAGTCATGTTGTTCAAACTTTGTATATTGAAGCATACAGCCATCTCCACATGATAACCCTGATGAGAATGTTCTTATGATTTGCACATAATCGTTTGCTTTCCTTAATCAGAACATTAAAATGCACGCAAGCCACTAAAGCCGTTTTGCAAATCAGCCTCTTTGAACAACCAGAATGCCACTTATCCAATTACCAATGACTGTTTAGATTATCTTCATAAACCAAGTTCCTCCCAACAAAACAATTTGACCAATTTAAAGCATCTATGAGCAGCGAACATAAATCATCAAATATCGTTCAGAATTAATGACTCGTGATACGGACAAGAATATTCACTTTTGTCCACTAAACCAATACTAAGAAAACATGACAACCTGAACAAGGTTCTATAAGCACAAAGCTTTAATTCAACATCTCAAATCAGATCGAGTGCCAAATAAGCCTCAGACTCGAGAATCTGGCAAATTCAGTTTCATAAATCGGAATAATAGAAGAGATCAAGAGCTTATTCTAATAAGCACCATAGCCTTGCTTTCTACAATGTATGCAGAAACAGCTCATTACCACCAAGCTAATCAAAACTCAAGCCTCTATCAAATAAGATAGTGAAGCTATAATTTAGTTAGTGCTAGCCAAAAGATCCAGCTATTTACTGGCCAGTTAGCATGACTGCACTTTAGTAAACAGAGCTTTGTTTCTGGCAACAAAAATTTACATGAGTCAATGAACTTATCCATTCTAATCTCCAAATTAACAACTATTTAGATTTTTTCTTTTAAAAATTATAGTTTATCTAGAAGGCAACAACAATGGATAAAATGTAGAGATAAAGCATTTGTTATTGCCTTGAGAATTTCTACTTTGAAAAGAAGATGAATTAATTATACATGTGTTGCAGTGGGAATGAATTAGGATAAAGTTTGCAGGTTACCTTTATTAAACCCGCTAGACAATGCACATCAACACCCTCTGGTACTATTCCATTATCTAGCTGGTTTCTCACATACTCCTCTTCGCTAGTCTCACCATTTATCCTGAAAATTCCTTCTGCCTGTTCAGTTTCAATGGGATCAAAATTCAGGCATCAAATGTACAAAAATAATTATTTAGAATCAGGAGATATACCCGAAGGCCACCTTGCTCATAAAGACATCTCTGCATTTGCAAGAGTATGGTTGGAACAGTATTGCCTCTAGAATCATATGAGCATTGCATAGATTCAGTTGAAACACCAAAGACAGTTGCACTGCAGAAGAATTTCCAGATAGAGTTAGCATGAATCAGCAAAAGCTAACATGCGAACATGATAAAAAAGAAAGGATGAATAATACATGGAAATTTATTGATAATCTTAACGTTTATAGCACATATTTCCCCATAATTTATTTAGTCCACAAAAAATCATAATTTAGGAACACTATATTTAAGAAATTGAACTTCATGGTTGAGCAAGGAAGTCTTTCCTTGTATGCTGACAACAATTCATCTAAATAAAACATTATGGAATTTTATCATGCGTGGGAACCACAGTTTAATTGATTTTTCAAGCAGTTCATTTAGGTATCATATGTCTCATTTCAGAAAATAACTAAAAAAAGAACAAATAAGCCTCCTATTGACATTCTGTAAAGAAAGAAAATTTGTTCTTGTTTAGATTAGTGAAATTGAATGGAACCTACGGTTTGAGGTTTTAGAATAGAAGATCAAGGAAAGCTAACAAAATTCAAGTAAAACATCAGAAAGTCAAGGAAAGCTGAAATTTTTTTGGTTGGATTTTTACATTTTAAAACAACTGAAATGGCATGCCATTATTAGTCATCGACGACTTATCAAGATCAAATTAAATCACAAGCTTCTGCTTGGTGTAGTGTCAGTCAATCGATGCTCATTCTAGGAGGTCCCCTCACAAAGTCATAGTATATGAACATGTGACCTGAGTAGATCTATTTATTTCCTGAGCATTTAGAAGAAAGGCGTACATAATACTTGCTGTTAAAAGGCATTTATCTTGATGTGTGCACACTACACATAAGGCTCAGAAAAATGCCTTTTAACAGCAAAATCCACCACACCTCATAAAGGATATGATTGTGTGGTTTTCTGAATGATCAAGTCATTGCAAAAATACAAACACATTCAATAATATACCAATTAGTTCTCTTTATAGGAAAGAGGTGCTATAACTTGATCAAATTTTTTGACCAATAAAACATAGGCCAACCTTGAGCAAAGAAATGATAATGTGGCTTTTTGAATGATCAAGTCATTGCAAAAATACAAACACATTCAAGAATATCAAATTTGTTGACCAATCAAACATAGGCCAACCTTGAGCAAAGAAATTTTGAGGGATGTTACAATCTAAACATGAAGTGACCAAATGACTGGCACGGGACAAATAAATAAAGAAGATAGTTAGGTTTCCAATAGCATGAGTGGAGAGAATGATATGGCAAATCATATGACATGCTTCCATCTCCTTTTCTGGTGCAAATTCAAGAAAATTAATGTGATCTATAATGAATCAATTCAGAGTGACCCCACATACACAACATAAAAAAAAAATTCTCGTTTTCGACTACAGGATATAATAGATGTGTTATTAGACCCAAGCTGCAATTGTTCATAAAAACTTTTTCTTTTTTTTTGGCACCAACAAGGATCTAAAAATTTAGCTACAAAGCGGTAAAGAACAGAATTTATTAGACAAGTTCAAGAGAACTAATCTGATCTATGTAACTAACCAATTTAGAATGACCCCAAGAGGCCAACATCAAAATCTTTTTACATTTCTGACAACAGGAAATAAAAGACATGTTTTTAGACCCAAATTGGAATTGTTCACAAAAACTGATCTTGTTTCTTTGCACTATCAAGGATCTGAAAATCTAGCTATAAAGTGAAAAGGAACAGAATTTATTAGACCCAAGTTCAAGAGAACTAACCTGATCTATTTAACAAATCAATTTCCAACATTGAAAGTTTCCTATTTCTGACAACAGGAAATAATATATGTGTTTTTTTGACCCAAATTGTAATTGTTCATAAAAAAACTCTTTTTTTTTTTTTCTTTGCACTATCAAGGATCTAAAAATCTAGCCACAAATTGGAAAACAACAGCCTTTGAATCAATAATGAGACCTTCAAGGAAAACACTCGATTGAATTATTTCATGATATTTAAGGTCACTGATTTCAAGATACCAACTTCATCTAAATCTAATAATTATACTAATACAAGAAACCAACCATAAGCTCACATTTCTCCAGAAGAACGAGAAATTTGTCAGACCTTGCGCTGGGGGCTATACGAGGAACCTCCGGCTCGAACTCGACGGGCAGCCCAAGGAATCCATGGAACCGGTCGAAGGTGACGTGGGCGACGTGCTGCACGTCTGTGGGACGCCCGATATCCATTGAGCAGGAATCCTTGTCGCCGGCTCCCTCCGTCTTGCACCCCAGCAGCGACTTCCGGACCACCGTCAGGACCAACGCCAACACAGACAGCTGCCGTTGTTGATCCTCCTCCACGACCTCCTGCCCTCCTCCTCCCCTCACCCTCCTTTCCCTCTTCTCCTCTATCGGGCCGCCACCGCCACTCCTGCCGGCCTCGTCCTCGCCTCCTCCGAGGGCATTGAAAGGGCCTAAAAAGCCGCTGGCCTCATCACACGACTCGCACGAAAGGGCCCCTCTCGGAGACGAAGGGAAGTGAGAAGGGGACAGAAGCACTTCAGCCATGGCTTGAGGGAATTCCAGAATTCGAATGAAAAAGAAACAAAGATTGGATTTTGAGAACAATGTCTGTTTAAAGATTGGATTTTGATAACAATGCCCGGGTAAAGATTGGATTTTTAGAACAACGAACCGAGAAAAAAAAGGATTGGATTTTCAGGACATGGGCACTTGTAATCCTCCTCCTCCAAGCTTGGAGAAAGGGATGGCTGTGGGGCCTGAGGAACTTGTAATGTGGAGTTGGAACAAAAGGGATGGATTTAAATTGGTTGGCTGTGAGAAATCACAACCTTAGTTGTATGGGATTTGGTTACATGGCATGGGGGGCTCTCTTTTGGAGAGGGAGAAAAGATTGGTCAAGAGTGGAAGGGGAATACAGAGAGAAGCCATGGAAAGTAGTTTGAGGTTGGAAGGGCTCATAGAAAACTGCTGTATTTAGTTGGGTCTTTGTGTTAATTAATGACTTGTAGAATGGGAGAGTTTGGTTTAGAGATCAAAAGGACCTGTTTTTTGTTAAGTTGAGGAGGATTGAATGGTCTATATTTAGATAGTTTATTGTTACCAACTCATCTGCACTTGCAAATGCAATGTATTATCTATTCACATTTACTACATACATCCCTTTGGGTAAATAATATTTATGGAGTAGTATAATATTAATTGGCATCAAATCCTATATTTGCTCCATCTATTTCACCCACCCTTAGAATAATATCTCTGTAATATTTAGAAAAATAAATCAAAATTTATGCTTTATACATAGAGATAATTTTGAACATAATCTGAGTTCATACATGGCTTTTGATTTCAGATTAAGTAGTTTTTCATTTTAGTTAATCTCAGAATTATATATATATACTTTACCTTAAAAAAGGAAAACCAAAAACTAAATCAATGGAATCCAAAAGTGAAAGGCAAAAAATCGAAATCCAATAATTAAATCCAAGTTATTGGCCAAATATCTAAATTAAAAGGCCATATTAGTTCCAAGAATAGGGGAGGAGTCAAGGAAATGTTTGATTGCCTGCAACTGGAAAATGATTGCAAGCAATGATTGACAAGAACATCTGCTAATTGCAAGTTAGATAGAGGGCAAAGACATTGATATCTAGTTCTGATTAGATATTATGTGGGCATGTAGATTGCATGTTCACTTATGTAGTGTGCATATGAATAGTACCCATTTTTATATCATCGATTAGGGGGAAGGCAATCAATTAGAATTGGAATGGGAGAGCAGAGAATGTCCACGAAATGCTTCTATAGGCACACACACAAAGCCACCAAAATGAAAGATCCTCCTACCTCTCTCTACCATCAAATCAACCATGCCATGAAATGGAACTGTAAACCAAAAGAGTAATTTTCCTATAATATCGAACAAATTCACAAAAGGTTTCATCGTCATCGCCGCAGTTTACACCTTCGGAAAGGACATGGAAATGCCTATTCGCATGGCATACGAGCTTGACAAGAGAGGCCTGTGTTCATGTCCATCAACATATGTCGATGTGATGTGATGACCTGCACCGGTCGAACAAGCTTTGCAGAGAGGAAATCCAAAGCCCCTTCCTTTGGTTAAGCAGTGTCTTGGATTGCTGGACAAGCCTGTATCTGCAGACAGTCATCGAAGTTTCTGCTGCTGACGCACTCCAACATGGCTTTCGCAGTCAATTCTCTTCCGTATCTCCACAAGTAGTTCAAACCAACGAGCAGCTCAGTAATGGCGTCCTCCGCCTTCCTTTGGTCCGCAAAATAGAGCGTCTGCAGCAGAAGAACGTTAGAGTTGGAGACCAAGCTCTGCTGCTCGAAGCTCCTCTCGGATTGCCATCGGATCGTGTTATGGGCGAGCGGTGCCAGCCAGTCCAGTATCCTTGTCACCGCCGCACTCCACTCCGCTGCAAGAACTGGATCGTAAATGGATGAAGCCAAGTTCTTGGCGTACGATTTCAGCCTCGCTCTGAGGGCTGCTTTTATGCTTGTGGTTAGCATGCTGTAGAGGTCATCTCTGGCGTCGGGGCCGATCAAATGGGGGGAGGCCGCAAGCTTCTCGATGACGATGATCACGTTGGCGTAGTGCAGAGCTAGAGCTGCGGCGCCGAGGGTGGTGGCTGGAGCATTCAGCAACTGGAACCTGGGTTCGGTCATGTCGAACATGTTTACGCTGGTCTCAGGGCTTGCAGCATCAGCTCCGGGAGGAGTCAATGGCGTCACATTTGGCTTCCGGAGGGCGGTGTCCATGGGGATGCAGCTCTGCAGGACTGCTGGCTCATTGCCACCGACCATACACCCACCGAATGTTCTGCCGCCGACCGGCCACTTGGTTCGAGAATTATGGCGCTTTCGAGCGGGAGGAGGCAGGCCGATCCTGGGAGGTGGACACTGCCCGGCCAATGCTCCGCTGCTGGTAGCTATAGGCCCGGATCTGGTTTCGTGCTGAGGGGCAGCGTGCGGCCCGGAGGCGAACAAGCGGACCATGTTGCCGTCGGATGAGTGGCCGGGGGAGGGCATCAGGCCGGCGATGGAGTGGCTGCGGGAGAGCCGGGCGGCGGGCTTTCGGCGGCCGCCGGACCACCCGGTGGCTTCTGTCTTCGTCGGGAATCCGAAGACTTGCCTGATCCTTCCGACGATCGAGAACAGGGATCGGCTCAGCAGGCGGACGGCGTAGTCGTAGGTCCTGACCCACAGCGAGGCCTCGCGCAGGTACTTCACTTGCTGCCGCTGCCACATGACCTTGTGCTTGAAATCGGCGACGCTGGCCTGGTGGCGGCCGCCGGCGTCGGGGTTGGCCAGCAACCGGAGCAGCCCCTGCTCCAGCTCCGCCAGCACCTCGAGCTCGTGGTACAGGTCGGCGCCCGCGGCGACAAACCGCTCCATCTTCTTGACCTTGCGCTCCATCTTCCGCCCCGCGTACTCGAACCCGTGGGGGTCGGCGCCGGTCTTGACCAGATCCGCGAACGCGGCGTCGAACCGCTGCAGCGCTGGGTCGGAGCACCGCCGGCCGAGTCCGGCCACGGCGCGGGCCAGGGACCCGAGGGCGTCGGTCGTCTCGGCGAGTGCCAGGGCGAGGAGGAAGCCGTCGTCGTCGGAGACGAGCTTGCGGACGCCCTCGAGGCGGAGGACCTCATCGCGCAGGCGGGCGACGCGGTCGTCGGCCAGGGCGTGCCAGAGCTGGACGGCCTTGGACATGAACCGCGCAACCTCGAAGGCCAGCACGCCGACAGTGGCGGCTGCCTTCTCCCCCCCGCCCGCGCCGCCCTTCTTTCGCCCGCCATCTCGCACGAGCCCCATGCGGCCCAGCCACGACTCCGACTTCACCTTCCTCATGGACGGCGGTAGCCGTGTCCCAAGCGGAAGACCCCTTCAAAATCCAAGCTTTATCTCATCACAAGATTCCGATGGATAGAATAAATGCAGGAACTGGAGCTGCAGCGCTGGACTGACGGAAACCAGGCGGGTAGGAGGAGAACACTGCACGAGGAGGACGTGGAAGCCAGTGCAAGGTGGGGGATTCTCTTTTACCCTTCCTTGTCTGTCTTTAGTTTAGGCTGAGGCCGAAACCAGGAAAGGAAGCCACCAAGAAGTTGCTTCCTCGGTGGCGGTGCCACAGTGCGGGCCGCAGCTGCGCATGTGTTGGTGGCCGTAGGCCAGTGCGTTGGGGGTGCATCCACTCAAGTCACCACCACCTGCGACTCACTCTTTGCACCTCGCATAAATGCGCGGCTGTATCACCCATCGCCGCCCATCTGCTTCTAATCAAAACCAGCAGCGACACCAAAAAGTAAGAAAGAGGGAATAAGATTCCAAGGTCACCAGCACAGCGGTGGCGGGCCAACAGAAGAAGGAGAGGAGAGGCCACATTACCATATCATCCGAGCTCAACAAGTCAATTATTCAGCTGCTTTACCTCGGTTGACCTCTAGCTTACTCTCTTGTCTCAAATCCAGTTGATATTGACGGGGAACTCGTCAAATCTTTAGGTTGGGCCGTGGAGGTCATAGGTGCACATGCACCGAGCTGGATCGATCCCATTTGGGAACAAGAACAAGGGATGCACTTGTTGTCGTCTTGCTATGGCATTGTCTCCGGTGTGCGTGCCGATATGATTCGTGTTTGGCCATATGTCGCGGTCTCAGGCTGGCAATTGTGCGAGTGACGTAACGTTTAAGCGCGTTACAGGTTTTCATTGGCGTTACTGTTAGATGTATTAGCAAATGTATTTTACGTAATGTTTCGTTGGTTCTCTCATCTCACCGACATTGATTCCAAGGAGGAGGAGGCGGTGGCGGTGATGGCCGCTGCTTCGCCTCCCACTCCGACCACCAGCAGTTCGCCTCAGGTCCGGCAGTTGTCCTGCACCAAATGCTTCGTTGCGCTTTGGTTCTGCTATCGTACGTTCTCCTTTCTTCCCTCTCTCTTCCGCATGCCTTTTATGGCCGAATACATTGTATGCTTTTCGTGGGTCTTGGAGTCCTGGTACCTTATTGGTCTGATCTGACTATTCGATAGTGGCGTGGTCAAATCATTGAAGTGGTGGAGCTCTCAGTGGCCTTTGCCTTAGGAATCGCTCCAAAAGTCTCGACACTGTTGTTCTCGACCAACGTCGTGCGTGCCAAGGGCTTCTCTGTCTGTCAAAGACATTGTTGTTTTGATTGCTTAAGAAGATCCTTTGTGATTTGAATGGAAGGGGATGGTGGGCACGGCTTAGTGTCATCAAGGTGTTTGTGCAAACGTCCGTGTGAATGTGCTGGATCTTGAGGTGAGATTCTAATTTTTGTAATATATATATATATATATATATATATATATATATATATATATATATATATATAAATATTCTTTTTATGACTCATTATATTGTTAATTCTATTTTTCAGTCAATCTGGATCTACCATCTGAATGGACCAATCTTAATCATATTGCCTTTCGTTGTTCCTGGTTGTAATCCTGATCATGAGAATTTCTTTCCAATTAGAACCAGCATGTTTTAGATTACCTTCACAGATTTTAAGTAATTTAACACTTGTTTCAAACAAATTGTATGCAGTCTTTGTCTATGTAACAAATACAAAGAACCTGACTGAAATACCAGTGTAAAACTTTAAAGGATTTGATGAGTCTGTTGCATTATTCAAAATGGCAGTTGTCAAACAATTAGAATAGTTTAGATGGACTTTAACTATCGAGAAATCTTAATTCAACAAAACATTAAAATAGGAGTTGTTTGTTATTTATGATTTTACACATGCGTTATCAGCATATGCATTCTAACTAGTGCAAATTTATCATAGATAGCTAGATAGTTGGGGAGCACATATAAATACAAATCATACTAAATATTGCTCTGACATTATATGGTGCTGTAGCAATATTGAACAGGCAAATGGTGTGCCACAACCATGTTGCTGTTTGTTGTGCCTATATTGGTCACATGCCTACTATTATGAAGGCACAGAAACATCTACGTCAAGCAGCAATACTCTGCTGATATTTACATAAGCTTGGCAGAGGGGAACACCATTGATATTGGCAATTGTTGAATCAGATTAATACTAAATTGCTTTTTGGTTGGTGTTGAGATAATCTAATAGAGCTTTTTAAGAAACTAATAAGCCTGTCTATTTCTAAGATGGAGTGATTGGAAGAATTGAACCAAGATATTAGTAAAAAAGGAATTGCTACTGCAGATTAGAACAATGAAGTGATTGTTTAGATAAATTTGTGCATGCAATGAAGAAACCATAAGCTTTATAGTAGGTAAATTTTGTTCCATGAAATGCTTTGAAGGATGATGAATTGAATGAACCTTAATATCGTTATGAGCATCGATTTTGAGTCTGTCTCCCTCTACATCATTTATTTCGGTCAAAAGAGTTGTTTGGTAGTTTTGAATAGTCATAACATGATCTTGCTTGTTAATAAATGGGTGAAAGAAACATAGCTGTTTTGGAGCTTCCCATTTTTCTTTTGTTTACATTGTGCAAGTCGTAAATCTCAACTGCCTGGTCTTAGTTACATGGATCTTTTTCTAGTTGAGCTATGCCGACTGCAATGTCATTAGTTAATCTAATAGCCATCTAATCCCTTGCCATTTGTAATAAAGTCATCTTGGGCTTTTTCTTTTGTTCTTGATAGAGTAGTCATTTCCTTTTAAGTTACATTTAAGACAATACTAAAGAGCAGTGTAAACAGATTGCAGCATGAGAACCTTGTCCCTCAATCTTGTTCTAAATCTTCATATGATGTTTACAAACCAATAATGATGCTGCTAGGATGGTCGTGGGTTAGGCACAGATCATGTTGGGAAAATGCTTCGCTATATCTAGGAAAGAGTGGAGGTTATGTTCCTGAAGATGGTGTGTGCAGTTGGTTCATTATATTGGATGATCGTGGGTGCGTGCAGTTGGTTCATTATGCTCCCGAAGCTTGTGCTGGAGGCTGTCTCTAAATGTGGTGCATGTGATGAATGGCAAAATCTCATGGAGATTACCAAAGCTTGAAGGATGTCAAGAACTCTTTGGTCCCAGTAGAGTGAATGGAGTGAATCATGTTAGGTTTTCCTTCAATGAGATGGCATTTTGCTAAAAGTACTCTTCAACACCCTGATGAAGTGAGTTCTCGTGTCAGAAGCTGCAAGATCTTCCTTTAGTTGATCATTTCATTGATTTATGATTGAATTCCATTTATCATAAGAAAAGGTAATCATTAATCCTTTTTAACATTCGTTGCTCTAGTACTATGAATTCTCATTTGGCCTAATTTTATTTGGACATGTCCGAATCATTTTATAATCTTTTTTCTGGTCTTACATCTAATCAGAGATGGTTAAACCTACCATGCATTGTATTATCCACTATCTATTATTTTGGATCTTCTTAGTGCTTTTTTCAACTGATAACGTGGGATTTAAGAACCAAAACAAGGGGTCTTGATCCACTGTTCTTTTGGTTTCCAAGATTCTTCAATCATGTATTTAAATAGTTTGGTCTAATGGTATATTGATGGCTCATACTTCTGCAGTAGCTTTCATAAGTGGAGAGAAAGCAGAACAATATATATCTGTACGAATCGGAAGGTGGAGGAAGCTTCAGTGGACTGATGGTAATGTATGACATATTTTCCACCTTCCTCCTAAATCTGGCTCATGACCTCTATTTTGAAACATGAAATTTTGCACTCCTTAATCAATGACTATGTATGTTGACTAACTATCAGTATTCTTTTCTAGATCTACAAATATATAATCCGGTGAGTTCTAAAGTTTACCATATATTTATATTAAATAAACTGTAGAACTGCTGATGAAGTGCTTTAATTATTACCGTCAGCTTTGTTTCTTGTTTCTGTGTTCTCCTTTAGTTGGGTGCAGATATAAAAAGGAGGAGAAAAAGGTATGTCTCGAGTGCTTTTCCCCCTTTTGTTTTATGCAAATAAATCTACACCACATTTTAAATATTGGCAACTTCGTGGATGGTTATAGTTGGAGAATCAAATCCCTACTCCCAAGGCTTTATTGGAAACCACAGTCATTCAAAAACCACATTTTTCCCTTGTTTGAATGACTTGGTGTATGCTGTTGCTCCAATTATGTTATCTCTAATCTTCAATAAGATAATGCATTGTCAGTGTCTATGTTAAGGCCTCAGGAGCAGGGCACAGGTAACTGCATCCACTTGAGACAGAGAGAGAGAGCTAGTGCAAATATATCTGGCTTTCTCTTTTCATCTACCTAAGTAGATTTCCAGAGATGATTAGCTATATATACCTCACATCACCATCGTCCTGATCACGGGAGGTGGAGTGATGCAATCGCAGGTATGCTGATGGCAGCAAGATCTCGTCGGATGCACTGAGCCAAATCAAAGGATAGATCTTTTTTCGTCTTTTAATTTTGTGTTTTTTTTCCTTTTCGAAAAAAGGAGTTGCTTGATGGACATTAAATCGGATGGCCATGGATGCTGCAATCATGTAAGATCAGAAATCACGTAATTATTTGCTAATTTTGTATTTCTGTATCAGTCGTGTACCCTTTTTTAAGGGGGGTTTGGAAATTATATATCTGATACTTTGAGATATATATATATATATATATAAAGATAAATTTCACCAAATATAATATGGATGACCCCCGGAGAGAACTTGTATGCGTCAGGTCGTCGGCTACGGCAAGCAGAGCGTGGCTGTTGCAAGGCATGCCGAATCTGAGGCCGCAAAGAACGAAGAGACGACTGGTGCTGCTGGCTATGGCAACGGAGACGACGCCCACCAGCGCGTACCGCACGGGAACACGTAGTCGTCGCCTACGTCGTTGCCATGGGTTGAGATCCCGTGTCGCCTGACCTCCCTGGCTGGAGTACTGCTGCGCGCACTACCTACGTGCAGTTGGTGAATCGGAGACGCGTTTAGCCCGCAAAGATCGGAAGAGTTCCAAGGACGGAGAGGCAGAAACGAGAGAGACGAGAGAGCAGAGAGAGTGAGAGGGTCAGAGCCATGGCATTAGGGCGGGCGAGGAGACAGCTTTTGAGCGCCTGCGCTGTTTGTATTGATTCGCTTGGAAGCTCACGTTCTGCTCCTGCTCTGCTCCCATTGTCGATGCATGTGTGTATGGATCATATGGTTTGCTTCACCCAATACTTCAATTCGATGTCATGCAGCGCGCGCACTCTTCTCTCTCTACCCTTGTCTTCTTCCTCCGGTCACGAGCATCTCTCACTTCCTTGAGGCCGGCCAAAGGTCTTGGGATTTGCATCCCCCCCTCTCTCTCTCGCTGCGTTAATTATGTGATGTACTCTGGAAGACAGGCGATTCCACTGATTTAATCTAGCTGGCTTGAGCTTTTACAGCCAAGGAGATGTTGACCGGATTTGACTAATCCTTCTCTGTCCATCAGCTGTTTCCTTCTCTCTCTCTCTCTCTCGCTTGACCACTGTTCTTTGGATACGTATGGAGTTTTTGTTCTTGGGTTTCGGTGAGACCCTGCCTAATACCTTAGCCTTAACATGGCTATTCTATCTTGCGTGGAAAACAAGCAAACCATATCATTACCAATCAAAAAGGCTATCCAAATTGCAATTATTGTTCCAGAGTCTAAGAGAGACGGGAGACAGCGACCTGTGAAGCCATAATGCAAGATCTGGGTGCAATTTTCCCTTACACTTTCAGCTTATCTCTATCTAACTATGTACAATATAATATAGATCTTGTGGGAGAAAGTGAGCTCGTACAGCAGCTTATTTATGGTTGAGCCAATCAATGTATACCACTTTATTTCCCTCTTTTGTTATCGTCTTCTTCTTTTGTTTTCTTTTCTTTGTCACTGTCAGAGTTTGATCTGCTGTTGCGGTTAATGAATTAGTCAGAAAAGCGTGGCCTGACCATCGCCGATTGCCAGTTGCCATCCATCAGTCTCCTTGGAGTTTTTTACTTTAACCACATGAAAGCAGCGTGAAAGAGAGACCACTGCCGTGTGCAAGCTGAGATAAACTCTCCCTCTCTGCACTCCCTGCACTCTCTTGCCACTTAATCTAAGCGCAGAGGAGAGTAGTGGGAGGGAAGACATCGGAGTAGCAGCTAGCCAGCAGGCAAGCACGATCTCATGCTCACAAAAGAAAGAGAAGGAAGAGCAGTCTGTCTTTAGTCTCCTTACGCCTGAGCTTACTTATGCTTGCATGCATGGACGGGGGAGAGAGCACTGTTGTTTCGGTGTGTGCAGTCGGAGATGGTGGTGGAACTGGAGACGGAGCAGGAATACAAGCAGCAGCGACGGAGTACTCCGCCGCTTCTACTCCGTCTCCCTCGCCACCGGCAGCGGCCTTCCCCGGCGTGGTTGGTGGGGTGATGGGCATGCCCGTGCCGCCGCCTGAAGGGGCTGCCCAGGCCATGGGGATGATGGGGAGTGGCGGCGGTGGGAGCAGCGGGGCCGACCTTTTCGGAAGGAAGAAGAAAGGGAGGCCCAGGAAGTACGGACCGGACGGCATGGCCTTGGCGCTGTCGCCGACCTCCGGCTCCCCTTTCTCCCCCCTTTCCTCCGACGGCAAACGGGGTAGAGGGCGGCCACCTGGCTCCGGCAAATACCAGCTCCTTGCGTCTCTTGGTAACATGATAGATACACCCTCGTCTTCTTCGACACTCTGTTTGACTCGGTAGTGGTTTCCCTAAAACCAGATACAAACAGTGACTCACATCCAACACTGGAAATGTGTATTAACTGCAACGAGCTGAACAACACCTCTCTTTCAATCACTGTTCTTTCCTCTTTTTCTATCAAGATTATGACTTGCAACTGTTAGATAGATCACATAAGTCGTTTAGATTTCAAAGAGATGTTGGAAGTCGTTGTTTTTCTGTATATTTGCTCTGTATTATAGCTTGTTTGCATGAATTTGTTGTTGTTGTTGTTGTATTCGGTCAGCAATCATATTATGATCGTAAAAAGAGGGGAATTTAAAGGTGAATAGCTCAGCATATATCTTGATTTCTGTACTTGACAGGGGAGTGGTTTGCATACACAGCTGGTGGGAATTTTATGCCGCATGTTGTGACCATTGCCACAGGGGAGGTGATACATTCCCAACCTATATTGCCTTCAATCTTATTATTCGCTTTCTTCGAGTTCCTGGCCAGTGAAGATCAGATGTCTTATGATCGAAGTCGTGCACGGCTTTGACATTATGCTGTTGGATTGTGTTCTTGCAGGATATTGCTGCCAGAATTGTCTCCTTCTCCCAAAAGGGTACGCGGTCCATCTGCATACTATCGGCAAATGGGGCTGTCTCGAATGTTACCATACGCCAGCCAGGTTCCTCCGGTGGTACATTGACTTATGAGGTATGGAGCATCAACCATTCTATTTGTGCCCTTTTGTTTCTTTGCTTGGTTATTGTTCAGAAGGCTATTCCTGAATGTTAATCTTTTTAGCTGCTGTACTCTTTAATAGGCTACACTCATCTTTTAAGGGTTCAAATTGATCTCGTAAATCAACTCTCAATTGCCAAATGAATGAGGAAAATATTCTCCATAGGTATTCAACTTAGATAATAACACAAAAATCGTATATGTTTGATAGTAGAAGCTTAACAAATGACAAATATTAGTCGGTTTCACAAGATGTAAGTCATATCTAGAGACCGGCACGGGCTTGCGGTAATCCTTCGAATGTACACTTGTTGGTCCAACATGCTTAATATTCTTGATGATTATGTATTGAGCTTTTAGTAATATTTTACTGAATAGACTTTCTAGCACGACATTGGCAAACTATTCCCTAACAAGTCATTTTTTGCACCTTTAAGGCCATTGTTTATTGCCTGTACTCTAGCTATCTGGATATTCATTAATTTTTTATGCTTTTCTCAAATTTCTTTCAATTTTTATGTAATGTCATCATGCTCGTAAATACATACAGGGCCGTTTTGAGATTCTATCTCTGTCTGGGTCCTTCACGACCACTGAAAATGGTGGCGTACGAAGTAGAACCGGTGGGATAAGCGTATCACTTGCTGGTCCTGATGGCCGTGTTATTGGTGGAGGAGTTGTAGGATTGTTGCTTGCTGCGAGTCCGATTCAGGTCCCATTCTCGTTTCCATTTGATTTTACTATATTTGTTACATCTAACGTAGATGCTGATGACATGTTCTATGCCCGAGAGGGGTCTAACATTGAATGGATGGTATAAGAAGAAACGGTAGTCATACTTGCAACTTCTAGTTGAAATAGATTTATAACCTTTGTTATGCTGATGCCATTCTTGTTTTTGCATCATTTTGCTCTGGTAAAAGTTGTTTAAACTGCGCTTTCAATACGTGAAAACAGCAAGCATGTCAGTATGATCAGAAATATGAATCTTCGAGTAAAAGCTGAGTGTATTTCGATACTTCAGAAGTTTGCTATGTATCTCATGTCATGGGCTATATATGTGTATTCTGTTGTCATTGCAGGGTTACAATAAACATCAGAAGTTTCAGGAGATTCACATAAAATTGTTCCATTTAGTAAACCATATCATGTTGTACATAGAACATCAGCTAAATTAAATATTGGCCGGTTAAACAAGTCCTAAAAGTAATGAAGACCAAATTTGAAAATGAGAACCACCAAACTCCATCACTTCTATAAAGGTCCATCTCGTAAAATAGTAAGTAAACCGGCTTAAAGGGGTACCACACGGTCTCTAACCATGATGGCAGACATGATAACCAATAGATGTGATATTTGTCAGACATTTGATGCATTTAGTCTTTAAAGTTTTATACAAAATTACATAGTAGTTATTTTGACCCTTTTAGGAACCTAGAATTTTTCCTCAGTTGGTAAGAAAACCAAGCCTCTATATCTTTTCGTGTTAAATATTTTGATTTTCATTAGTTAGTTAAATAAATCTACATACTGTAAAGTGTTTTTTTCTATCGCATACATGCTCGGTATGCATTTTCTTCTCTAGTAAACTCTTTAGTTTCTCAGTTTCTCTTTTTTTTTTTTCAATTTTCTTGAGAAAAGTGACAAAGACTTGGATCTTTTTTGCTATGTATTTAATGAGTCAATGGTTATATGGAGTAGAATTCATCAATTTGACCCAATGCAAATATGGATTGGACACGTTGACTAGGTTGGTCCCGTACTATTTGTATTCAATCCAGACTGAGACAGACCTTAATGTAATGTCCAAAGTTCATGTAAAATTCAATGTCTCAATTAAAATCTTGCCACTTGTAACCAAAAAGAAGAAAAAAAAATCAAAATTGTTCAGCAATTTTATCATTATTATTTCTTCACGGTTGTTGTTTGTGTTCTTATTGTCGGTTATATTTGCATGACACAGTTACTCTTTCTACCTGCAATTGAAATTAAGGATAAATTATTCCTGGGTTTTGATTAGTTTATCACGAATAGTGAAAGGGGAGAATAGAGCTGTCTGAACTTGAACAAGGATCATTTTACAAATAGTATTGTATATCCACAAATTAGTAGGGAACATTTTGGTGCATGATAATTAGCAGTTTGATCTCTTTTATATTGAATTATCAGGTGGTGGTTGGAAGCTTCAAGCTAAACGCTTTCAAGGAGCAAAAAGCAAAACCGACACAGCAAACACCTTTTGCAGCAGTTCCAGCAAACACTGGTATGTTGATGGATGCGAGGCCAATTTCGCAGGCGAACCCTGAAGATGACTGCGAGATCCCAACCTCATTGTTAACTGGGCAATCCCATGCCGAAAACAGCATGCACAACCCCACTCCAAACTCCACTCTGCACGCAGCAGGTTGGCACGGCCTGCAGTCATCAGAGCATGATCCTTCTCCTGATATTAACATATGCTTACAGGGAGATTAGCATTGAGGTACTCATACCCTAACACCATCAACCTGATTAATATGATTGGTGATATTTCTGCTAGATATTAGGCTAGGAATAGTTTAGGAGTCTCACCGGGCATCTGACTCGATGATCGAAACTTATATGTTCAAAAGTGCCTCTTGGTTTTCAGTTTGCTGATATTGTCATTGTCATTTCATTGTCATCAATGTTTCCTTGTTTGAACTATGACTTCATTTGTTAGTAAGACCTCTGTACTTCAATTGAATTCATGATAACTGCTGATGTCAAAAACTAACTTATTTCTTTGGTGACATGCATGTGTATCTACTGATCAAATACATTGGGAGCTTTCATTTTTTAAGCTGATCATGGCCATGGTTGCTGTTAATAATGTAATCTAGATAGGATCTTAATGCAACTTAGCTTGTGAACACCTATAACATGGAATGAGGATCTACATGGTATGGTTGCAAATAAATTTGTGTTACTGCATCTTTTTAGGGATGTCCTTGTTCACTTTTAATGTGGGATTAAACTTGGGATGTCATATCTAAACTATGTAAAAAGAATATAATAAAAATATATCATTTGAAATTTTGCAAAGAATGTAAATATGTAAAAGAACTCCTTTATTTTGTTAGTGTTTGAAGTATCTCTATGATGAGCATATTCCAATGTAGATTTCATCACAAAAATTTGCAAAATCATTACAAAAAAAATTAAAAGTTCAGCATCTGAAGACTTCACCATTCACATTTTTATGAGAGTCAGCTTGTAATCAATTTCACATGAAACTCAACTTCTTTAAACTTTGAGTTTTTAAAAAGATTAATAGAATTTACATAATGAAATTCAAAATCTTACACAAAATCTGGTTTGAAGCAACAATAATGCATCTTTCTTCATCCTCATTCAGCAGCAGACTGCAACCTAAAGGCAAAATGTTTCAGCAGAGCTTATAGGAAATTAAAAACAGAGAAACCTCACAGCAAATTGTTACTACCTTTTTCTTTTCTGGGGATTATATTGACCAAAGGAAGGAGTTACCTTAATTCTCTAGGATGATTTAGATCAAATAATTTGGTGTTAATGGCAAGAACAGCCATCTGCACTGCCTAAGAGCAGCACAAACTGAGGGACTGGAAATTCCAGATGCAGTTGTATGAACACATTAAAGACTGCATGAGAGCAGTTGTCTGCTCATAGATTCATTACCACCCAAGACTTTTTTCCCTTGAGGTGGTAAAAGATTTTGTCTAGTATGTTCTATTTTGAGTTTGTCTTCATGTTTTATATGCATGAGATACCAAACATGCTCACAGAAAATAAATTACTCATGTTGTACCTTTGTGACTAACACACAAAGTGACTTAGTTGTGGAATATTCTTCATAAAGAATTCACCTGAGAAGTTCTACTCCTACTTTGACCTCATCCAGTGTCAACTATCCTCTCTCTCTCTCTCTCTCTCTCACACACACACACACACACACACAACTAAATTGACATGAAATGAACATGAATAATTTGGATTTTAGGTGGGAGGTGGTTGCATGAGCATCCACAATGAACAAGGAGGCTACTTCTTGCACCAGTAGGGTACTCAGCTTGTGTCATGTGAAGACATAAAGTAAATGTTAATGCTTACTATTTGAAGTATTCTAGTACATCATTTTAATGAGAGTTGTACTTGGTGGAAGCACTGTCACATTGGTTCAAGTTCACCAATTAAATGTGTGGAGTAGTACATCAATGGGAGTAGTGTGTTAGAATAAGAAATTTAGTCCTTGAGCAAATATATATTAAAAGGAAGATGGAAGATGAACATGGGGTTGCTGGCCAGCCCAGAAGAGGGTGAGGACAAAGTGGAGTCAAGGAGATTATAGCCTTCGACCTCCTACTCTAGCAACAATGAGAGTAAAAGAATTCCTACTCCATTGGAAAGATAATTCTCCATTGGAAAGCTTCTCTCTTACTTGACATTGCGAAACTGTCAGTGAACAAAGATATACTGTATCTCTACTGTTCCTCTCCAACCTTCGTTTCCGTGTTCTTGTCGGAGAATCTCTCGTTTGTGCTTGCGTTTCGGCTTCCTACGTTTTATTTGCAAGTCAAAGGATGATAATTATTTAGACAAAAATCAATGTTGTTGATCAGAAAAGCTTTTGGCCTTCTGATGAGACAATTCGAATCAATCAAATTTATTTTTGGAATGGGAGAGAGCAATCGATGCATTATTGTCCTCGACCGATCAACGCCCTCTCACTACCTGAACAGCGTTCAGCATATGTCCACCTGTCATCGGTGATCATCGGCTCAACAAGTCCACCGTGGGACCCCCCCTCCCGTTTTCCTGAATCCTGTCGGTCGAGATGACCACGGACCTGTTGAGAGAGGAGAAGGGAGGAGGCAGGCAAGCCGCTGTTGATCTTCCATGGCGAACCACGCGCAACGAGAAGGTATTACTGTCACCAGAGATTGGGTTGTCTTTTTCTCGGAATGACCAAGCCGCTGCTGCCAAGTTGACTTCGCTCGACTCTCTCCTTCCTCTCGCAAGCCATGTGTCCGGCATTAAGTTCCGGCGACGTCGCACATTGAATGCTGCAACGCAAGCGAGGGGAACAGTGAGCCTCGACGTTGACCGCACCCCATAGAAAACGCTAGCAGATATGTGAGTTCCTGCGTGCGGATCCACTCCCGGGGACCTTTCGCTTCTTAGGTTGTAGTCGCTGCCAACCCATGGCAAATCAGATTCCCCACGCAACATGACAAAGCTTTATCATTCTAAGCAGGTTGCAAACTTCCGGTGGGTGCAGGAGTTGGTCCTCGTTGTCTCTTTGTCCTGCGTGCCGAGTTGGGGTTGGTGGCTCTACAGTTCCTTTGTCTAACTATACGCAAGCAAGATCTTTTGAGATCCTTATGATTAACTCACTCTTTACTGTTGTCTCGCATAGCATTATGCAGTTTTATCTTCTAAGCAAAGTATAATTCTGCCTGTTGCTGTACGACGTGAGGTTCACTGTGCAAGAAAAGGGAAGGGGGGGAGGGATTGAGATGAGATCGAGAGATCAAGTCCGGTATCAATTCGATTCCAACTGAAGTGGCCATAGAAAGCAAGAGGAAAGAGCTCAGCAAGGCGAAGATTATTCTTCCCTTCCCCTCCTTTCCACTAACCTGTCATGCTTTCCATATAAGAGATTCAACTCCCCTCCTGTCGTTGCCTTTTGAGCTGTAAAATCTGGCATGCCACTCCAGGAACAAGAATGGTGGGCAGAACGAAGAGGAGCCTCCTGCCTCGTAACCATCTTTTCCTCCTTCCAGCCATGAAAGACTTGGCCTCGTGCTTCGGTGAGCACGCAGTTAAAGTCTCCGACACCTCCTGCTCCGGGAGCAGCAGCAGCGGCAACTCATCCGTGATCGACAACGCCACCTCTGTTCTCAGCGCTGTGACCTGCGTCTACCGGACGAGGCTCTCCGCGCAGCAGGAGCTCCTCATCAGGGTCACCTGGTCCAAGGGGCACGTCAGCCCCACGCTATCCGTCGGCGTCGACGACGACCCGTCGAACCCCATGGTTCATGAGCTACCACTGAGGAAGAAGAAGGGCAGCAGGACTTGCATCGCCGGGGACTTCGTCGTCGCAGTGCACTGGGACATCTCTTCAGCTAAGTACGGGTCTGGTCCTGAGCCTAGCGATGGTTTCTACATCGTGATGGTGGTGAACTCGGAGTTGGCGCTGTTGCTTGGAGACATGAGCAAAGACTACATGAGAATGTCGGAGGAGACGCTTCCGGTTGCCGAATTCTCGATGATTAGCCGGCGAGAACAGGTCATCGGCCACGCGATTCACTCCACAAGAGCTCGGTTCCGCGACGACGGGAGCGACCACGAGATCACCATCAAGTGCAAGGGAGACGGATGGGACAGCAGGGACTCGGAGCTGTCGGTATCGGTGGACAAGAAGAAGGTGGTGCACGTGAGGAGCCTCCGGTGGAACTTCCGGGGGAACCACACCATCTTCGTCGACGGGTCGCCGGTGGACATGATGTGGGACGTGCACGACTGGTGGTTCAGCAGCTCCTCCGGCAGCGCCGTGTTCATGTTCCGGGCGCGGAGCACGTTGGATAGCAGGCTGTGGCTGGAGGAGATGCTGCACAAGGAGCAGGGCACCTCTCGCTTCTCCCTGCTGATACAAGCCTTCAAGGGCTGAGTCTGATGCTGCTTTCTTCTCCTAGTTTGTGTCTCCTCCTCCTCCTCCTGCTTCTTCTTTCTGCTATGTTTGGGAGGATCAGTCACCGATTTGTTTGGAGTGGTGGTTCTTTGTTGATCCAAGTTTCAGAAATGTGAATTAATAGATCGATGGAGTTGATTGTCTCTTCCCTTCTTTCTTGTTGATCATACAATCCAGATTTATACATTATCTGAAAATTATCCATCAATTGATCATCATAGAGATAAAACTTCTTCTTCTTCTTCTTTGATTGACATGGAGATTGGCCCATGCATTCATGAGCTATGGATGAGGAAATGCTCCATGAATAGCAGCACAATTGCCCTTTAAAATATTGGCAATTACTGCCACATTTTCTTGAGTAACTAAAACCTCCTTATGATCACTTTGTATTATTACACCATATTGGAAGTTGAGATGTAAAAGAGAAAACAACTTCAACCTTTCCTTAGCTTCTTTTTCAGATAGTCTAATTCCTAGTTTGCTTCATACCATCCACCAACAACTCAGAAGGTGGCTTCAGTGGAAGCATGATTAACATGCCTCCTTATATTAATATTTTTAGATCAACAAGCATACATGAAATTTGATAATAATAATTCAATCCAAAACCTTATGTTATTAAATCATGGGTCAAACCCAACATGGCTAATATTTTAGTCTTTGCATCAATTTTCATCTCTCACACATGGATGCCCTCTGAACTCTTTCAAATAGATTAACAGTGGAAGATAAGTTTCTTATAATTCCTTTTTATGATCTATAGTGGCACTTAATTTCTCTTAACTAATATTCATCTGTGATTTTGTGTCCTGTGTTTCACATCAGAAAGTATGCATAATGTCATCTTTTTTCTTTAAACAACCAACTTGCTGTGAATGAGAGTAGGATTTCCTTCAACCTACTACTACTACTGCTGCTACTATTACTACCACTTCAATGGAATTCAAATTGCTTGAACTATGAGGGATAAGCAGCCAACTGTTGCAACAAGAGATGGACAAAATATGTGTGAGACATTCCTTCACTTTAGAGAAAGGTAGCAGAATGTGAATAATCTCTTTACATCCATGACCAGGAGGACATGTCTCTTTCTTCAGCTGATATGATTAATGTTGCTACTAGTATCTCACATGCACCTCGTGAGACACCTAATCAATCGATTGATTCTTGTCTCCAGGACATGTACAGTGAGATGAACTGTGTATTTAAGAGGCTAATACATAGACTTGGTTGGCATCATAAGCTTTTCAGATCTCTCTGTTCCATAACATTTTTATGTTGGATGTATTATTCTCTTGTGAGAAATTAGAGAGATTGAGATAAGCATAGTTCACTGAATTGCTCCCATTGAAAGAAACAAACTATACACAGCATTCAGATTATTCTGCTATCAACAAAAGAAACAAAATATCTGGCTTAAATAACTTGCAATTAACTCTTTGGTTTATTTTAGCTTATTTTGTTTCTTTTTAGTAGAATCTTTCCATAGTCCAGGGAGAATCAACCATATCTTTTCATATACAATTGACTTAGCTACCAAATTAGAACATAATTTGGACAGACTGAAGAAAAAGTTTCCCAATTAACTATATAACAACACTATTATGATGCTCTTTGAAATAATCAAAATCATCTCCAATTCATCAAAAACATTCAGTTTCAACTTCAGTGTGAGTCCTAAAGTAATACAAGTATCATATTGCATGCAGTCCTGCTGATTGAAATTTTTGGCATCTTAATACCACTTTCTATCACCTAAAGAGAAATCCCTTATGATGGAGATAGTTGTTGGAACCTTAAAAAGAGGGCGCACTCAAAATGTTCCAATTTATAGTTTCACATGAGTAGCAAGGAAAAGGATTTCTTTTGTTGCCAGTTAGTGTGGAGAAAATATTCATGTGTTAGATGAAGATCAAAAGAAGACAAAAAAAAGTAATGTCTCAAATTCATCCAATTAAAACTTCAACGACAAAGGCAGGAGAAGAATAGGAAAGTAAACTAGTTAGGCAAATCAATAAAGGAAACAAATTGATAGCTCAGGTGGCAAGGCTTTATCCTTTATTCATGTGCAACTTGGGGTATAGATGTCTCAGCCTGTGTAAAGATAAAAAGGTTCTGATTCCAGGAGTCTTCAGTTAGATGAGTCCAGAGGTTGCTGGAATATGTTGGTGTATGTGTTGATGGTGGGGTGATCAAGAAAGGAATACTGCTTTTGTTTGGGCATTCTCTGTTCTGCCAATCTTATGCTGATGGGATGTGTGATCTCTCTTTGTTTTACAGAGTGAATAACACAAAAATACATTTAAAATCCTGATTGGTTTGAAATATTGACCATATCAAATATACTTCATACTTTATATTTGAACATATACTCTTTTTTAAAACATCTCAACATATACAGATAATATATTACATAATCAGATCAGATACATTGAAAAGAGCTAATAGGTTTAGAACCCATGTCAAACTAAAATCATCCATTGATCCTGTAGATTAACTGTCAGTATTTGTCTCAAAACAATTCAAGGATGAGTATGTCATGTATCTATCACATTGCGTACACTAACACACACACATTTCAGTCTTCTTTGAATCACCAGTTTTCTTGACATGACAAATGCACATCAGGCAGCCATGAGGATTTTGGATGGGGTAGTCACTCTAGCTGAAAGATTTACAAACTCTGAGGGCTTGTAGTCTGACCTGCAATGGATAATCCGCAACACAACCAATTCTTGGACCAGCCCCACTGCACCATTTGTTAGAAAGCTGATGCCCCAACTGATATGAACGCGTTTTCCTCTTTGAATCGATCCTTTCCAGTATTGCTTTCTCCGGCACCTCTGGTATTGGACTTTTAAGGCCGCCAGACAAGTTTCTTTTATATTCAACTTGAAGAGTGCCAGTGCCTTGAGATGCCACGCTTGGTTCTGTAGCTGTGATCTCTGTAGGTAGAAGTGGTCGTGGAGTTTTAGAAACTTCCATAGCTTCAATCACCTTTTCTAGTTGAGTTGGATTTGTGTCATCATAGTAATCTTCATTTGATGATGATAGTATCTGAGGATTAATTCAGATAGAAAGAAAATATTAGCAAGACTCTTCTGAGAATAACCTATCAGTTCCTCAATAGTCATTGCTGCAACACAACTTTGAAAAGGTATTGCAATGTACCTGAGTTTCACTCAGATTAACCCCATTTTGTTCAAGGAAGCTCAAGAAGTAGTTAAAATTATCCTCGGTAGGTCGGTAATGTCCACTGTAAGCCCAAATGCACTGCAAACCAGCCAACCTTATAAAAGAAAAGGCTCATAACACAAAGCAATCAAGTGAGTGATCCACTTGAACAGTCTTATCTACATTTATCAGATTCTGTTGATAATTGAAAGGATCTCGGCAATATGAATCTTAGCAAATTGGAACAGACTCATTCAGGCATTCAACCAAGTTCTAGAACTATGAAACATATTGTCAAAGTACCTAAGAAAAGCAAAAGGGTTTTTATATGCCGAATCTCTACCAAGGCAGAACATGATGGATAAAATTTGAAGTTCATTGTCCGAGTGTTTGTATATGCTACCTTGAGTATCCCCTTTTCAGCAGTGAACCTTCCAGCTGCTATGGTAGCTCCTCCAGCGAGGAAGCTGGAATGGTGAAAGATTCCTTTCTTCTTCTAAACATAAGAACAGATAGTTATTGAATTTAAAGTAAGCAACAAGAAGGATAATGCAACCAATGCATTACTACTAATCCAACTACGAATGCAGGGGGGAAATCCTATGAGTTTAATACCACCTACCTGGCCAGCATACAAGATCTTGGTTGTGCTCATGACAAAAATCCATTTTGCTCCTTTAGTTGCTGAAGTGGTATCAAGAAGCACTCCAGAATGTCTATGGACAACTTTACCATCCATCAGAACATATTCATAGTGCCCCCGCTCTTGCTACAGAAAGTGAGACATTGAGTTGACAATCTGGAGCTGTTGTCCCATAAAGAAAAAAAAATGGCTAAAAGATATCTTTCATAATTGAAATAAGGTGCTTATGTTTTCCATCACAAGCAATAACAAGTTGATAAAATTATGCATCTTTTAAAATCTTCAGAAAATTGTGCATGTTGTACTCTAAGAAGTGGAGGAACATCCCTGCCATTTATTTTTTCCACAAGAGAAGTTTCTTTCATCAACTTATCCACCCATCCACAGGAGGTAATGGTAGAGTGCTCTAAACTAATCTACAGATTTAGTATGACTATGGTTTATAAGATCTTGCATCAATCAGAATTAGTAAAGCAATTATAAAGCTGGCAGTCTTTATGTCGCCTTGAAAAGATGTTGTATCCTATTTTAACTCATGTTAAAGAATTAAAGTGATAGAAAAGGAAAGAGATCTTACAGGACTAAGATACTTGACATATTGCGTACAAAGAATTGACCTTGGGCAATCTTTAAGATCCAACTCTCTTCCATCACCAATATCCAGCCTACATGAATGTCAGAAGATTATTGTTTTAATAAAAAAATAGTGATTTTTTTCACTATATAAAGTAGCTCACTATTTGAATCAACTACTTTGCAATTAACATGGCTAATCACGGGCTTCACTCTCATCACCGTTTGATTCATAATAACGCTGGATATGCAAAACTCTCCACTAACCACCATTCAATATTTATGTACCAGCATGCACTTCCCATCTAAATGCTAACCCAGATGCATATCATTCTCTCCTTGATAGGACATTCTTGCCAATGTTGGATCAAAGCCTTTAGCACATGGATTCATTTCCAAATAAAATGTGAGCTCTAAAATTCGGTAACTTATGTCGTAAAGTGGCATCCAAACCTTGAGGGCAATCTGTTTCAAAAATTGTATGCAGAGCTTAGCTCAAAACATCACAACTAAATCATTTCTGAAGAACATCCCTTCAACATGACCAAAAATTGTACAAGTGCTCCTTGAATGACAATATGAACCGCAAAGACTGTTAAAGGCATGGATTATTAGTTGGAGCAGTTGTCAAAATATTTCTGTGCTTATATTTTACAACATGCTTTCTTTGGATCACATGCAACCAAGGCCTTTGCTAACACAAAAGGTAAAATGAATGAAAAATTATGAAAAATTCTCTACTTCATAATGATTAACCAGCTTCGTGGTTGTATCACAAATATCATCCAGATCCTGTGCATCATATCAAAACTTTTATCTCCGAAGTTATAGAATCTTTTATCATTACCATTTCCACTGGATTTGAATTCACTTCTAAAGATGGCATCAAAACAAAACAAGATTCCATGAAAGAGAAAAACCATGGCCCTGAACTAAGTAGATGGGTTTTAGTGCTTACCAATAGAAGAAAGGTTGCCCAGCTTTGCTTTTACACCATTCGTCATAGTAGAAATGCAAGTTATGTCCATACCGATGTCTCGGATCAATCTAAAATGTAAAAATAAATAAATTGCAAACAAATAACAAAAAGTTCATCTATTTGTGTGATCTCAATTTTCATATCCAAGTTACAAGCATGAGTTTCAGGACTCTACACCAAATCAGGCACAAAACTTGTGTCAAAATTGATAAATCAAGAAGTAAGCAAGACACAGGTCATTCCTAATTCTGAACTAAGGTTCCATAGTGTCTTCCAGCTAAGTTATTGACAACTTGGGAATTTGCCACACAAACAGAGTAGGAACAAAAACATAGTAAAAGTAAAAAAGCAAAAAAAGATCGGTTTACTGACCCTATGAATTTTCTCTGATAAACAAAAATATAACTTTTGACTAGAAATGTAAACCTCCCGTAGCAAATCAAGAACAGTAAAGAAACTTGCGTACTTTGTAAAAGCCCAGAGTTGGAACGGGGACAAACAAAGAAAAAGGTAGTTATGACCTATGACTTTTCATTAATCCAAAAAAAAAAGAGAGACCTTTTGACTAGAGGTATAAACCTGTAGCAAATCAAGAACGGTAAGAAAACCGCAAGCAAAAGAAACATGTGTACTTACAGCTTCAATCCAGTGCTGAAAAGCCAGCTCCAGAGCTTTGGCGTCCTTGGATGATCCTTGACCAACCTGTAGTTCACCAAAAATACCAACCCTTGATCGATCAACCAAAGAATTGGTTTTGATTTGCTTATTACCAAAATATTTAAAAAGTAAAGATGAAAAGAAAGAAAGCAAGCAAGAGGAGTAACGAGCCTTCGAAGCATTCAATCTAACACGATTCCAGCGGGAGACGGGCGTCTCCTGCTTCATGTGGTCGAAGAACGACACGGTGCTGTGGTTGAGTCGAGCGAAGTCCATCACTTGCCACCTTCCGTATACGCCCCAACCACACAAGCAAAACAAGTGAAAACACCGTACATCTAAAGATCAATCAGGACGCCAAGAGAGGCGACAAACCAGAGCTCTTCGGCGACGACCGCGGAGTCGGCCAGCCTGCGTCGAGTTCGATAGCTGCGGTAGACCGTCTGAAGCTTCGTGGCGGCCGCGGACTCGGACCACTGAGCGACCGGCGAGTTAGGGGAGAGGCTGTTGCCGACGGCCTCAGCCAGAGCACCGACCTCCACCGGGGGCTCCATGGGGCGGGAGAATGTCTGTGCGATGATCTCCACCTTCTCATATCGACCGAACGATAGAGGCATAGATGGAGAGTCGTAATAATTATTTATTTTATTTTATTTATTTATAATTTTAAGAACGATAAAATACAAATATTAATATTAATATTAATATTAATATTAATATACATGTATATATAATAAAATAAATAATAACATAAATTATTGTCTTTTACTTAATCTTAAATTTAGATCCATTTATTTTGTTAATTTATTAGGGAAGATATCACCTAGTTATAATATTTTTTATTAATAAAAATAATATTATTTTATTAAGAAAAGTGTAATCGAGCTCTAATTAGTGTCCATCCCATATATCTTAATTATTAATCTCATCATAAATTTTAATATTTTAAAAAAAGTAATTTATAAAAGAGTTTGGATGATTTTGACTAGTTATAAAAAAAATGATTATAAAAATTTTAATTTTTTCATGTAGCTTTAAATTTATGTGTGTGTGTGTGTATATATATATATATATATATATATATATATATATATATATATATATATATATATATATATATATATATAAAGAGGTGCTATCCTAAAAAAGTTCAAAATACCTTTTTGAGAAGAAATAATAAAAAAATATTTTTTTATTATTAATGTTGCTGCTACTACTACCACTATAGAGTGTTTCTATTCTTAAAGTGAAGAAAGAAATTGTAGATGTTAATTAGGTTTAGAATTTAAGATATTTGTGTAGCTACAATTAATTATTAAAAGTATTTGCAAAAATATATATATTCAAAGTTGAATTGGACGTGGACTTGAGGATGATTAACGAATCTAATTGGACCACATAAACGAATGATGATTTGTGACTCTAAAGCCATGAGGAATAAATATATCTCTTTTGCAATGGACGGTGCTATTGGGCAGAATAAAAAGAGAGATTTAATCTTTGATGATAAATTAGATATATATATTGATATGGGGATATGAGGTAACGTTGCCTATACGTTTGACTGACATCTTAGTCAAATTCCTATCCTACAAGGATGTTTTTTTCATTTTTTTTTATCAGTTTTCAACTATTATAGTGTGTTTCAATTGACTCGTTTAAAATATTTTAAAATAATATTTATAGTATTTTATTAATATATTGAATGAATGAATGTTATTGAGAAACACTGTAAATGACATCATGTCATATTCCTTTGATTGTTATTGTTCCTAGGCAATTATACTATCATATTTTTAGTCTTGTAATTAGTGTGATTGAGGTTAGAAATCTATTTAGATTATTTATAATATTTTATATAGGTTTTACAGTGTTTTTATTATAGTAATCAAAATAATGTTACCATTTAAGAAAAAAGTAAATTAGGGGTACCAATTGAGAAATACTCAAAATATGAGTATTTTCTAAAGAAATTATTATTATATATATATGTGTGTGGTTTTTTAACTCTAGATTTACTGATTACCCCTAATTTCACCAATAGAAAACTTGAGTTAAAAAAATTGAATACATAAAGTATTTTTAATTAATTTTATTGATTATTTATTTAATTTATCATTTTTCTTCCTTCTTCTTCATGATCAGATTCCTCATTTTGTTTCTTGGTTCTTTTCATTATTTACTTGGGTTTTGAAAGAAAAAAATGGATATCATAAAATTTCAATAAATGTTGGATGAGAATGAAAGAGGCATTATTGGACTAAAACCAGTTGATGTGATAGATAATTTGTTTTTGAAAATGTTATTATATTAATATATCTATATGTTTTCCAGTTGTATAAAAAAATTACTTTTAAATTTTAATTTAAAGAATATGTCATTGTCTCGTGGAGGAAAATTATTCCATGAAGGACAAATTTCATGTCTCACTCTTGGATTATCTATGATATTCTCATGACATTGATATCGAATCATATATATAACTCGAGAGTGTTAAATATTTATTTTGTATTTCATTTTAAATAATATTAAAGGGTACATTTTTTATTGATATTGAACTGATATTAAAAATGAAATAAATTAATCGAAGAATTCTTTGGTTCTGTGGGTATGCAGAATCAGACAAAAACAGTTGACTCCGTTGAATCGTTCCAAGTCAATGAAATTGACATTTTGACTTGTCAACATTGACTCGGTCTTTTCCATCCAAATGTGTGGCGGTATCAATTGCTTCCAATCTACATACATCATTAAGATGACGTTTTGTTCTCAACATTGACGCGGTCTTCTTCTCTTAATGTGAGTCTTCTCTATCATTTATGACCCGGAAATAGTCTTCTTTATCTTATATGAAAAGAAAAAAAAAGATGAATTTAGATATATTAAAAGTAAACACGCATTAAGATAATAAGATAAGGATTACAAACAGTAATAGTTCTACGAAGAATAATACGTTATCCACACGATAAATCATTCAGATGTGTCTTAGCAGTAGAATGAGAAGAAAGATGGCGGCATCTCGGATGTCAGAAACACATAATAGAGGAGGCTTCCGAGATACCAAAGGCGGCACAGCAGAAGAACATAAAGACCAGTCATCATGGTTTCTTCTTCTTGTTCGATGGTCGTGCTTGTGGACTGTTTGCTATGTCTTTCTTTCTCTGCTTATATAATTAAGGTTAATTAAGTAAGAACACGGATATTTACCCTGCAGAGGTCATCATCAATGCTGCACCTAAAGCTCGCCCTACTGTTACGAACACGAAGGAGTCGAATTCTAATTGCTTGTCATGAACAGGCTCGAAGACCAACAGTTGGGTACACCTTTTTTTTAGCTCGATCTAGGCATGTAGGGAGAGATGTCGTTGGATGGAGTTGGACTTAGAAAGGAAGTAGAAAAAATTGTGTAGATATCACGATCTCATGATTTGATTCTTCCCGTACAACTTGTCGACCTAATTCTGTCACACGGAAACACGTACAATATATTAATGATAACAGGGAGAAGGAAGTCCCTTCGTCTCTACTCGGATCACCCTCGCTACCGTCGGATTTAACGCATCCGCCGGATAGCTCCATGACAGAGTAAAGTGAAAAGCAGTACGGAGGTCGCAGAAGTGCTGAAAAGAGCACTTCCCAAATTGATCCGCAAAGCGCCATGGCCGAGTGCATCCACCAGGGCACAGAAGCCATGGCCACTGCGCTCGTACCATTTCTCCCCCTTGGAGCAGACACGTATCGAACCATATCTCTTCTTTTCTCCGGTACCAGATGGCAGATTCAACTCGCGAACTGCTCTCGGTCAGCCTCGTTCTGAATCACACATCACCCGCACAGCGAAGCTTGCAGTAAGAACAGAGGTGTGGATTGAACTGAAGATGGACAATAACATTACACCTGACAACAGAGAGAGAATGATGGGATGGGGAAGAGGGTACACATGGATATATCCATACTTGGCGCCACAGCACAAGGCCTTCGTTGGATAACGTAGACGTGTACATGTGCATGTATCGTTCAACGCCTCCGGGCAGCTGTCTCCCTCTGAGAGTTGAAGAAGACGGCGGCGACCGGGAGGCCGAGGTCGTTCTCCTCCGCGAACCGGCGCGTGCTGAAGTAATCCCTGGAGGACGGCGGCGACACGGCCTGCCGTCGCTGTTGCTTGAAGAGAACAAAGACGAACCTGTGGATGCCGATGTTTGGACGTGGGCTTTCGTAGCTCACCATCTCCCTTCCTGCCGACACCATCAAAAGCATCACGTTGTAGTAGAAGATGTAACGATTATAAATTGTGGTTGCTGCTCGTATTAGTCGTGAGTGCTGGTGATGGAACTATTGACGGTGTACATGCGTGGCTGACACAGAGGAATCGTTCTCAAGATCAAAGAATTCTCTCTCTAAAAGAGAAGGAGAAGGGACCCACCGAAAGAAGCATCCGTGGTGCCTGGGATGTTAGTCACGATCCTGTGAGAGGCAAATACCAAATGAGTATAAAGCATGTCTCCTACTACGCATGCACGCCTGCATATCTAACCAGAAACTACATATGGTCATAATTCACAACTCATGATCGCGTTTCATCTTCATCCACCAACGTGAGGAATGGGATTTGGAGATCATTTACCAATGCAGGTGCTCCCTGAGATATGGATCGCTTGGTCCTGGTGCATCTGGATCTGTCATGACCTGGAGTCGTGGCACGACGTTAGTCCCTCAGATGCCAATTGATCTCTTCAACAAGGTTGGTCAGTGAGATGGAGTCTTGAGCTGGAAAGCATACCAGTGTGAAGAAGGACCTCATGTCGCCACCCTGGACCTCGACTCTAGGCTTTGACGTGACTGCAGAGGGGTAGAGTTCATGGCCATTGAAGACCAGCTTGTTGGAGTTGTATGTGACCAACATCTTCACGCTGGGGTTGAAGGAGTCCAGGACTTCTCCAATCACCCTCCCAACAACTAGAGGATCTATCAACCTGGACATACCTACAAGCAGAGTCTTCTGGCCACCAACTAGGAGCTGTGTGTCTGAGAGGGAGAAAGGCTTCTGACTGGGGAATGGAAGTGATACTGTCTATTTATAGGCAAAAATTCCCAGATTTGGATTGCCATACCATGGCGCACTTGGCCCGCTGCAAAGCTGTGTAGGATGGGCCACCTTGGTGACACAAAATATACGTCCTGATACACTTCTCAGATGCGTACTCTGAATAGCTTTGTCCTGTGGTGTCTGCCAACCTACTCTGATCCGACACGGTGCACTATTTATTTTGTGAGTTTCCAACAAGGGGAGGAAAAGATTCGGGGACAAAACTATTAGAATCTAGCTAGAACACTGTTCCTATGTAAAAGACACGGAACGATCTTCTTGCTGTATATCCAGAGCGGGAAATGAACTGTTAAGAGTCGATGACCACTTCTTCATCCTACTGTCTTGTGTACCTTGTCAAATTATTGGAGATCGACTCTATGGGTCTTTCACCTCATCGAGTTTTATAGAGACACTTATCACACGAATACTTTTCATGACTGATGTTTAGTTTCCCAACTATCTCGAGCCCCTGACGGTCAACATTTGATGATGGAAGATGCACCATCGAGCAGAAACTCGTGGAGGATCGCTAAGTAAAAAACAGTGTTGAAAAGTCACCTGTGAAAAGTAGATTGTGATTCTTCTCTACGTATCGTTCTTCTTAAAAGTGTGGTGATTAGGGGGCTCAACATGTCTATCATGTTTCTCCACTTTATCGAGCACAAAATATTTGGACTTCCAAATCTGCAACCTACAAATTCCCACCTATTTCATCCAAGGAAAAAAGGTAGGACTAGTGAGTTGGGTGTTGCAGGAACCTCCCAGAACTGCACTGCCGCAAGCAGACTCGCCCCCTCCAACGCTGGATGAGTCCCACCATTGTCATGATGAAGGCATAAAGGGACTCCACTCCACAAAGTGGCGTTCTAGTGCTGAGCATGTCAATCCAGAGTAAAGAGATCCCATGGTCCTTGATGCATCAAAAAAGGGTATTGGTTTCCATAACTGGTTGAGCAAAGTACTTTGTGATGGTACAGAATCATGTTTCGCATCCAATGAGCCATGCTCTTATCCTTTGCTGCGATTGTGCATTAAACTATCGAGGTTCTTGCAGCCTGCAAGTGGAGTGGCTTTAGAGCCAGAAGTGAAGCCTAGATATGGTCTTGTGTCCATGGCTACAGATCTTACGGATTGCTTTTGGTACTCTACCTCTTCGTACAACATAAAGAGATCCACAGCACTGATTGCAGTGCTGTCAGCTCGACGCTTATTCCAGTACAGCTTCTCTTTCTTGCATTATTCCCTTCTTCCTTTACTGTCACGAAATGGGAAGTTGCAGAAGGGGAAGAGAAGGGGTTGGTATTACTACTTATAGAGAGAGCCGACACCGCCGAGTCCATTGCGAACCGCATTCGGATCCGACGCGGAATCGGGTCCTCTTGCTCGAACCGCATCCGTATCCGACGCGTTATTTGCTCACAAAGACTCCTGCTTCTTTAAACTTACCCATTTTACTACTCTGCTGATGATTGGATAAAACGACAGTCCCATCGTCACATCGGATCCGACGCGGAAGCGGTTTCCCGACTAACTCGAGGCTTGCGGCTACTGTCCCGACTAGTTAATCTAGTCGGGCCCCGCATGGCCCCACCAATCTCCAATCAAAAGCTAGGTATCTGAACGGGTGTCTTAACCGTCAACACAATGAAAATATTTTAAATAAAAAAAAATTCATGTGTCTTTTTATAGTAGAAAAATAAAAGAATAAAATCTTTGATAATTTATCATAAGATTTACTATTTTTTTATAAAAAAAATAAATTAATTATCGAATTGAAAAAGATATCTTTCAACGAAATAGAATTACTATGAAAGAAAGATAAAATAATAATGTGTGAGATAAAAATTGGTTTATGGTTTCAACATGTGTGTAGTCAAAAGAATTAAATTATGAGAGTATGTATGCATATATCTGCTGGTTGTGTGGAATTTGAAATTAAAAATATATAGATTGAAAAAACATTATATATGGATTAAGAAAAGTTTCAAGTATATAAATCCTTAATTTTAGAAAGAAAATTTGAAATCACTTTTTTTTATGCAAATTCAAAGTGAAAGAAAATATCAATTATATGATTTTATTTACAGAAAAAAATGAGAATTATGTTTGATAAATTCGAAAAGGACAAAAACCGTCCCATAACACCATCACAATGAAGGGGATGGCAATGGTGGAAAGCATGATGGACGTACCCTCGTGCATGATATCTTCGTCTTCCACTTTCCACTTCCTCCATATGTTCTTCCTCCCTGTAAAGCCCCAACTCTTCTCTCTCTCTCTCTCTTAGCTTCCCAACCCCACCTTCTTCAAAGCACTCAGGGACCCGTCGACCCCCACCCACGTTCTCGCCAGCTAACAGCCCATCTCCCATCATAACGTCAGGTGGCAAGAGGAGGAGTTCGTGCCGCGCACCCTACCTCCCCGTTTTCCCAACTAACCTTACTCCGCTCTTATACTCTTCTTTCCCCTTCCGCCTCGCTCGTCTCGGCGCTCCCTACAGAACGCATCAGGCAGCGGCGGAGAAGAGGCGGCGATCACTCCGATGGATGACTCCGAAGGTACGCCAGATCAAAAGACCACCTTGGCCAAGGAGGAGGAGGAGGAAGGGGGGGCAACCGTCCCTGCGTCCGAAGTGGCCCAAGAAGTGGTCGCGGAGGTGATCGATGAGGAGGAGGTGACAGCCGTACCCGTGTCCCAAGATGCCCAAGATGTGAGCTTGGAGTTGGAACAACCCGAGGAACGGGAGCCCGAAGCTCCAGCAGCAGGCGTCTTGGAGGATTTGTCGTCGGCGGCGGCGGTTGTTCCTGCTGATGGACCGCCTCCTGCGAATGAGGAGGTCGTGCAGGTTGCCAATGCTGTGGCTGAGACCTCGAACACTTGTATCGAAGCTGAACCTTTGTCATCTGAAACGGTAGAGGAATCAGTTCCTGCCTTGAACAGCTTGGTGAGCCAAGTGCCTCGTGACAGCACTGAGCTATGCCGTGAGACAGGGGACTCTGAGGCGAGTACCGACATGCGGAGCTTCCCTTCCTGTTATCATTTGTATATTGTTTATATTAGTTTCGCCGACATTATGTGCTAATTCTGAAGAGGAATGATTGGATTCATGCATCAGGTGGTCTCAGCGACACTCCTAGAGCGCCGAGCTACTTGGTGGAATTGTTGTGGATTATTTGATGTTCTTACAGGATCCAGAGGAAACATGAGGTCAGCGAATCATGAAAACAAATCATATTAATCTTTTAATTTACATGAACACAGCATTTTATTTATCCTGACAGAGTAAATTACACTTGCTGGAAAGTGTTTGTGAAATTGCTTGTCATCTACAATTGGTTCATCAAGTTTGTCTTGATCTTTTCATCTTAAGCATAGTCTATGAGGATTAATGAAGGTAGAAAGGGTTTAGGGCAAAGCCTAGAATAATAAGAATGAGATGAGATTTCACAAGGAATTAGAAGAGACACTCAAGGAATTAGAAGAGACACTTTGAGACAGATGAGGAAGGAGACCAACTGCTAAAGATATTCAAATTTTGCTTGGTACACTTGCTCTGTTTATACCTGTCTTGATTTGGTATTATCTGATTCATATTAAGTTAGGAGATTAACTTGATTAAAACATCTTTTCTTCTTGTTATTGCTTACCCGAGAATGGTCAATAATTACTTCATATTCATTGTTTCAATGAATTTTTGTTTCTTCCACTCTGTGTGATTTTAATTTTTGATTGTTTGGTCTATGTTAACCGGCTTTTCTGCAACAAAATAGCTGGTTCCTGCTATATTTTCATAGAAGTTGATCCATATGCATCTTCAAAGCTCTTATGTGCTGACAAAGGATATTTTCTGGACAAGCACCTGAGTCAAGAGTAGGCACAAGAGTTTGCTAGCTATGCTTTGAACAACAAATGCCATCCTGAAGTTGGATTTTGGGTTTTAAAGCTCTGAGCTTTTGGACCTGCATTTTCTGTAACATAATGCATCTAAATAGACCCTTAGAGAATCTAGTTAAAGATCAACATATGGTATTCATCAACTAGCAGTGTCGAAATGACTGAATTAAGAGCATACATGATGTTTCTTTGACCAAATTGGCACTTCTCATAATGATGCTTGCAAACCAAATATGCTTCAGTATGTATTGAAGGCATCATTATTAGCCCAAAATAAGCAACAATACCTACTGCAATGATGTGTGTTAATTAAAACTCTCCTTATGTTGCTAAACTTATTTCTATTTGGACCACAAGTATGAGCACCACGCCGACTATAATGCTCAGTTTCTTATGGACACTAAAATCTGTGTGGTAACACAGATGGCATCTTAGTGTGACACTAAAATCTATTTGAAGATTCATTACACTTTACACTCGCCAAAGAGATGTTCCAAAGGAAACCCTAACAAATGTATGATCTGATTTGTTTGTTTTACATGGTTTGCTGGAGGATGAGAGTTTGACAATTGCACCGTAGAGACATTGATCAAAATTCATTTGGCCTTGAGATTTCAGGTCAGAATTGACTTATTGCTTGCGTTGACAATTGGTTCAAAAGTCACCTAAATTAAAAATGATTGAGAATAAAAGAACACACAAGGTAGGATAATCTCCTTTTATTTGCTTTCTTTTGGGTTTTTTTTCTGTTCATATATCATTATTAACAGCCGAAGACTGCAGTTTAAACCCATGTTCAAAAGACATAGATGTTAGATTGCAGTTTGAATCCATAGGTAAAAGACTAGTAGATATTAGATTGCAGTTTGAATCCATACTTAAAACGCTCATGCAGATATGATGCATGTTTATTCAATTGCTGGAGCTTCTGCTTGATACCATCACCTAAACTATTCAACAAAATTAGCTCAAACAACATTTTTTATGCATGTTTATTATATTTCTAGAGCTTCAGCTTGATGCCAACTTCATAAACTATTCAATCCAAATTTTCTGGACAGCATATCTTTTTTTTTACCACAATGAAATGTAGATTATGTGTTGTTTTGTCTCTAATTAATTCGTGTTCTTATTTTTTCAGCCTGATAAACTGGGACTGCTAACATTAACTTGAAACCATCAGAACTAAGAGCATAGAGCCAACCGACATTAAAACTTTTGGTCCAGCAAGCAAAAAGGGCCAATCTTCACATTAAAATTGGAACCACAAACCATGTTTCTAATGTTTTTAGTCCCAAGATAGCTACTTCTTATTATGATTAGGCTAAATATTCTTGGTTTCATTAGTAATTTCTCTGGTGGGAATCTATGGTTGACATCTAGTGTAATTTATTACTTGAAAGTTACATAGATCGGTGGGATCTCCACTGGTCTCAATGATTTCACATCCCCTGTCCTGATGTGTTGTTGTTCTACCAGCAAATTTTGTTCCTTGTTTATATATATTTCTACGGATTTTCATCTTTGATTCTGTTTTCTCATCAGAGATTGAACTTGTTCTAATTGCCATTTTTCTACCCTGCCTGTTGCTAAATTTGTTGTTCATCATTGTTTTGCACCATAAATTGCATCCCTTTATGTGACACATCAGCATGTTCTTGTCTTCACCTTATTATGTTTCTCCAATTTGACCCTGTGGCAGAACATGAAGATGACAAGAGGAGAAACTAAAAGGGAGAGCAATCTGAATGCTTTCAAGAGTTTGCTGTTTGGATTCTGAATGCTTTTAAGAGTTTGTGAGGTTGAAGTTATGGACAATGGTGATCATGGAATGCTGATGTTGTGCAGCATTAGCTGCTGCTGCTGCTGCTGCTTCTTCCATTTTTGTTGGTCTTTGTGAGGCCCTATAATTTGTGTTCTTGTGTATAACAACATCGGGTTCTTTCACATGTTTGTAAAATTGATTAAAACTTGGTCATATTTTGTTCATCTAATGATTTGTTTGTTCTGCACAGATTCATGTGTCAACTTGATATGAATCAGGAATGGCAATGTTGCTCTTTTGTTGCTGCTTCTATGCTTGCTTTTCTGTGTGCATGGACTCGATCCTTACCCTGCAACCATAGAGGACAGAGAGTAGAAACAATGAAAAGACTGAAGGTATCATTCCACGTCTCCCCTTTGTCCTTATCCATCCGATGGTATACGTACCACCAACAGAGAAGATCCATCGTTAAAGAAGAGAGGAGAAAACTAAAACAAATTATTTTTTTTATGGATAGCGTATATGAATTTATATACATAATAAGAGATTACAAAAATATGATAATTATATATTTTTTCAATAAAAAATAAATATAAATTATTTATCTAAATTATTTTATAATGTAGAAAATTATATTGAGATCTTGATCCTCATTATTGATAGAATTATGGTAATATATTATTATAATTTTCATGATTTAGAATCATTATCATGTGTCATCAAGATATTGAGTGGATCATGATAATCTCATGATGATATATTTTTCTCAATAATATCCTTCCTAATATGTCGTAGTAAGATGGTGCTCTTATCATTGTCGATTTTGATCGAAGTATAAGGAATTGCTAGAGAGACAAAGGTTTGGTAATAGCATCTACATGTTAATTAAAAGATACAACACTAGAGACATGTGGCTCATCATTTTGAATTTTATCACAAATAAAGTATAAATCGATAACTATTTGCTTTATTTAAGAGTAAAATCTAAGATTAACACAAAGATATAGTCCCGATATTGTCATAATATATAAATGGAGGATTGACAAATAATTCATATAGCAATAATTGAATCCAACAAAGCTCAATAATTATAGAAGTAACCACTTGATATTCAGCCTCCGAAGATCTTGCAACAAAGTATTGTTTCTTGAAACTCTAAGAGATTGGATTGTGATAAAAAAAATACAATATAAACACTAGTATATGTCTATTATCCTTATTATCTGTCCAATCGACATCCTATGAAGCAAGAGAAGTCCTATCGGAGAAATAAAACATTATTAATAGTATCCTTTAAGTACCAGAGAAAACGTTTAATGGTTGTCCAATAGTTGAAAGTAAATTTGTGCATAAATTAAAATAATTTATTTACTACATATACAATGTCCGAACTGAGTGAACCACTCATAAATTCCATCTCTATTCAACCCCTATATTGAGATCTTTCACAACAAATGGTGCCTTAATGGTGCCCCAGATCTTTCACAATAAATGAAGAATGTAAGAATTCAATAAAAAAATTATTAGAGGAACATAATTTAGAGATAGATATTAGGTTCTTGATATCAGGAATACAAAAAACATCATAGAGTAAAAAATGATTTTGAGAAAGAAAAAAAGTTTGTAGAACTAGTACGATTTAGTTTGAGGCATTTACCATCGACTGGACTATCATAATCTAAATGAAGTGATAAATTATTTAAGTCAGACGTGATATAATAAGAAGCTCTATAATCAACTAATCAATAAAAGTTGAAAAGATTAAGCGACAAAGTAAGCATGTTGCAATGGTAATGAAAATAAATAAGTGATACTGTAAGATACATAGAATAAGATGGGTATAAAGGTTGAAACATTCATGAAATAACAACTTACAAGGAACGACATTTTGTAGTAGCATGGCGTCACATATTTGATGGGTAACTTTGTTATTGAATTATTGCTTAGATTTGTTGATACTTTTATTATGTTGTTACATGTTGCCTCCAAAATGATAGTTTGGATAATTAGTTTGCTAGTTGTGGGTTTTACCTTTATTGCTAGTATTAGCTTCGTTAGCAAAATTAAAACAACATCAGAAGATGGTAACTCTTGCTTAAGATAAGCTTTATAGTTAGAAAGCTAATCATGAAATTCTTTAACAAATATAAGATTATCACAATATGACACGAAACATAGCTAATATCTCCTTGTAATATGAACCAAGACTATTTAATATGTGAAAAATAATTTCTTTATCATCAAGAGGTGCGTTAGACATAGCAAGTACATTTGCTTAATGTTTTGATAGCCTATATATAGTTAGAAATAAATATTATATTCTTAGAGAGCTTAAAGAGAGTTTCTCGAAGTTGCATGAGACAGACCATAAGATTGGTTGACATACATTGTTGCAAGTTTGTATCACATCTTATAAGATGTGATAGCACTTCTAAGAAGATGATGTTGATAAATCCAAAAAAGTATGTTTATGATTAACAACTTCAATATTATTCTCTCTTTGTGGAGGGCAAGTGATAATATCATCTACATAACTCATAACATTATAACTGATTAAAAGATAATAAAATTAAATACACCAAGAGGTATAATTTATGAGCATGAGTTTGAGAAGAGCTTAGATTATAATGATAATACATATAAGAGTATTTTCATAAGTAAAGAAGTTGGGAATGGTGTGAGATAAGTGACTAATTAAAGAGATATTGCGATCATATCGAAGAGTCAAGAAGAAAAGACCCAATGCAGCTTACAAGAAAGATAGGCTTGTTAGAGCATAAAACACAATAGAAATTGTAATACTATCTTGATGAAAAATGAGATATAAAACAACAATAGTAAAAGAGAAGATAAAAAACAAACTCCTTGGAGCAATTATGACTTTGATACCAGAAATGACTAACTTGAATTTTTAATGATATTATGTATGAGTTTATATGCAGAGAGATTATAAAATAAAATAATTACATAATTTTTTCAATCAATAATAAATAAAAATATTTATGATCACACAGTTGATATTAAGATATTAATATAATTATGATAATATATTATTATAAATTTTATGATTTAAAATCATTATAACATATTATCAAGATATTAATCTTATCACTATTTATTGTTTAAATAATATCTTTGCTAATAAAAATAAGTCAAAAAATCAAGGGGTTGTCTTTATTCCACTGGAAACAAAGAAGAGACGATCTTTGATTCACATGCACTCAATTGTATGGTTGAACGGAGTAAAAATAACAAAAAGAACCCAAAAATCCAAAGAAAAAAGTTGTAATGTATGCGCGTAGTTGAATCTGTTGTTACATAATGTTATCGCTGCTGTTGACGGGCGGCCGATGACCACCGCCGATGACGGACTTGATGGCATCGGCCAGCGCGGCGGCGAAGTTTGGGTCGGCCGTTATGGCTGCCGTAGCGGCGCTCACCGCCTCCGTCAGTGACGGCGGCACGACCGGTTGTGCCCTTTGCTGCGGTAACTGGGAGGCGGCCATCTGCGGCGACGTTTGGAACTCCGAGAATGCCGACTGGTTGAGTAGCTTTTGGCCATGGACATGCGGCAGGGACTGTGGTTGAGGCGGAGCACCGCCGCTGGGGAAGGGGAAGTGGAATTGGGCGGCAGGTGGCCTTTTGGACAGTAAAGGATTCGGATCTTGTGTGAGATCCAAGGTGACGGTAGGGAAGGGAGCGGACGCTGATACGGTGGCCATGCTCGACGAGCACGGGAGAACGGTGCTGGCTAGGAAGTTCGAGTTCATCAGCCCATCGGTGCTGGTCATCGACCCGGAGAGGAGCATCGACGCCGCAGCCGAGGTGGTCGACTTCATCGCCATGGCGGCCGGTGGGAGGGGATGGTTGTGATTCCCCTCGTAGGTCGTTATCAGGATCGAACGATCGTCGGCGCACCTCTGCACCTGATCGAAGAAGCAAGCAGGGGATCAGTCGGAATCAACATAGACGAGACCACGAGTAATAAGCGCTTACTTGCTTGCGGACAGGACAACCGGTAGCCATGGTGCATCGGTAGTAAGCTCTCGGGCATGGGTTTCCCTTGGCGATCTTCTGCCCGTACTTCCTCCAGTGACATCCATCCGCAATCTACAACACCGTTAGCTTCGCTCAGCAGATCGGTAACTGTAATCGAAGGTACAGATCTGTACAAAATGCAATGAACTTAATTACCATGGTCGCCTCAGATCGAGCTCGAACAGAAACGCGAGCTTTCCTCATGGTGGCCACTGGCGTCTGCTCGGCAGTCTTTGTGGGGAATAACTTGAGAGCTTTGTTAGTGTTCCAACTTGGGTCAAGGTTCTCATCATTCTTGTACAGAAGATTGTCCGGTGGCGGTGACGAACGTCCGGGGCTGGCAGTCGATGAATTCGACGGCTTGTCCTCCTCCGCGACCGGACCCAGTTCCATGAAGTGCCTGGGGAAGATGACTCGTCCCCGGTCGCGATTCATGGCGTCAACCGTTGCACCCATAACCTCGATTACCTCGCGTGCCTTCCAGCTTTCGTTGTTCCGTTGGTGCCTCTGTCGCGTCAGGGTGGCCAGATGCATCTCGAGGGCGCTGTAGCTGGCTCTCACTTGGCTCAGCAGTAACCTCAGCTTCTGGTTCTCCTCGTTCATGCGCGCCAGCTCTACTTGCATGGCTGCCAGCTGAATCGAGCACCCCATTTGGTTCATTCCACGAAAGAAAAAGGTAAAAGGAATCAGATGGCAACACAATCCTGACCTCGTTCCTGCCTTCTTTGTCATCTTCATCATCGACCTGCTCTACCATGCTTGTTTCATTGGTATTCTTCTTCTTCTCATCCGCAACGGCCGGATTGCTGCTCAGCGCCTCCTCCGCCATCTCGGCATGCGACCGGGCGTTTAGGCTGATCGGGAACTCGATCGCACCGGTGCCCGAGTGATGGTCGCTGGAGTCCGTTGGCTGTTTGCGCTTCAAAACACCACCACCGGTGCCGACGTAGTTCGAGGACGAAGCAAGGAAGAGAGGCGCCGACGTGTCCAAGGTGAGCACTCCTGCACCACCACCCCTTCTATCCATGTAACTCTGTGTCATGAAATGGCTACTGGTGGATCGAATCAAACGAGACGAAGTGAAGGTTGAGCAGCAGGAAGAGGAGGATGGAAACCGAGGCGGAGGAGACGAGCGTCGTAGGCCCGAATTCTTGGTCCGGAGAGACGGGGGAAGGCAATAAGAACAGGAGGGGCCGCGGGCGGAGCCGCAATGACATCAGGCTGTGCGTCAGATCCGACAGTTGGGCCCGCAGTTCTCTGCAATCATAAGAAGGTAAGAGAGACGGGCCGCATCAAAAGACAAGGAGGCATTCCAAACGGTTTCGGGAGTCAACGCTCGATCGGGGACCGCTTCAATGCGGCGGCCACTTGCGTCCATGTCACCGCTTTTCGTTGAACGGGAGTATGGGTCAAAGCGTTGACTTCCTGCACTTCGTCTTGCCGTGAGATGGAAAGGACAGGAAGCAGGGACGGCCCCCTCAGGGGAATGCTGGACCCTACGGTGCGACATCAACTCTGGTGGTTCTCGTGAAGGTGAGACCCTGGCTGGGGCGAAACAGGAGATCTCGAATGTTCCACTTGTTTGACCCTGATGGAGCAGTCACGTCGAAGGGCGGGGCGGTGGCGGTGGCGGTGGAGACAACAGCGAAGGCTGCGGCGGGGCGAGGGGAACTCTGAGGAACGCCATTTGTTGCCATCTTATCATCATCATCATCATCTGTAGAGCTCACACAGTGTTTTCTTGCTATTCTATTGACTCTTTCTGAGGAAAGTGTTTGATTTGATGATGGATGGATTTCTTCTATGAATCGGTTCAGACTTCCTCACAGACACCTGATTGCATTATTATCATCTCTTGAATGCTACGCCACCAATGGGTGCATGGGTCAAAGACTTTGACTATGGTGATAGTGATGTCGCGTGAGCCCGGCCGTTCCCACGGGGAAAAGTCAAAACAGCATGTGATGGTCGTTAACTTTGTCATAAAAATATATAGATATGAAACATGAATAAAAAACTCAGGTCCCGCAGAAATTTGTTAGATTATATGATATTATTTAGATAAAATATATTATAAATATAATTAAATTTTAATTATGAATATCTATTAATTATAAAAAAAAATTAATTAACCTCTTTGTATTCGATTAGTTAGAAGAGTTTATAATCGACCCGACTGACTTGAGTCTTAAAGCTTCGTCCTATAAGATGATTTGTTTGAAGACAAAATTCTCTCGTATTCATATCCAAAAAAACTTTGTCAAAAAGACCTTCTTCCCTTTATAATGTTAATTTCATTATCGTCGTCATTGATCATAGAGTATTAACTATATTAATAGAAAAATAATTTTCTTATATGTCATGTTGATCTGACATCTATTTAACATAATAGTATTTTATGATCATCATATAACGAGTCTCGATTGAATGTAGATAACGTAAAAAAAAATTTACTAAGCACTATAAATAGAATTCCCAATATCATCGTTGTGACGTAACATGAACCATGGATATGGAGGGACAGAAGAACAAAGAAAACTATGACCATAAGACATGAATGAAATCAGGCAGTTTAATTATGATTACAAGTTTCTTGAGACTTTACCATCACAGATCAAGAAAAGGCAATAAAGCATTAACTCTCTGATGTTTGTTTTCCATTTGGTACAATTATAGGGTTTATCAGTTCTTAACTACTAATTCATTTGACTTAGGCTAACAAGCAAAGACAGCAAGTCTTCTTAAAAGATTTCATGTATCATCATGCATCTCCTTGATTTCAGTCGCTAATCCAAATTAAATATGATCGAGAACAAAGATTTAGCATGCTCCCAAAGAAGCAATATGTATACACCATAACAATACCATATTCTCCCTAGATTTAAGCAGGATGACAGGAATTGAAGTGATATTACAGTAAGCAGGATCAGTGGCAAACCCAAACACATCAAAAATAACAAGGCAAGCTAGGAATCAATTTTTACATGCATGGATAGCCACATATAAGACAGTGGCATCATATATTTTAAGACAATAATTACCCTTAAGCTGCTTCTGCAAATCCAACTCTGAGATTGCCATAGTCAAACACCGTGTGATACACGCCCATGAAAACATCACCAAGTATCCTGCAGCAATTGAAGAATCAATTACATGCATTAGAAACTAATCGCGCTATCTCACAGGCAATCTAACACAGGGCACATAGATGGTGATGTACCAAAGTGGACCCTGAGGTACATCAATGGCTGTAAATCCACTGATGCACTGTTCAGAACCTCCAGTAGCAACTTTAAGTGTGTACTGCAGCCAATGAGAACTAAATTAGATAACATCAACAGCAATGTACAATAGGATAATACATGGCTTGATGAATGATGCATTAATCCTGTTTCCAGTATTTGCCAGATACAATGACTTCCTTCTCTTTTCTTTTTTCCTTTTACTCTTATTTTTCTGATAATTAACGCTTTCAAGGCTCCATAGCTTGCCAGACACAAGGCTGTCAGACTATCTGACAATGAAAGTTCATCTGCAACTATCCGAGAATTCCAGGGATACTCTATAAGGCACAGTGGAACAAATTATCACCTAGAAAGACACTTATTGAATGGCCTTAAGAACTACATTAATAGCAATATAAGGAATTATGTTGACCATATATGAGAACCAATCAATTCGATGAAACATAAATCTTGATACAAAACAAGAGATATAAATGATCTTGGCATCTTCTAAAGCCTGAAGATAGGCAACCTAGTCTATGGAAAAAAGGTCATTCTGTCATCTCTAAGTTCATTTATCAAAAGCATCTTATCAGACTGTTGAGATTAATGTTAGCAGGTCACCAACCACTGAGATAGAAAGCATTCATTATCTGTGGGAATATGGTAGTAATAGGATGGAGTTATCCAAAGCAATTGAGTAGAAATAGCATTCCACTATTCCACATTATTATTGATACCAAAATTTAGATGTAGACCTTTATCAACAACAAAAAAGGATGTCAGATGCAGGTCATTCAGTCTTTTTATACGTCATCCATCTCAGTCAGCTGCTCTAGAAGCATTAGATGCAAGTGAGACAAATCCTTGCTGCAGCAGCATGATTGTGATTTGTTTATGCTGGTTAGCTGAGAGATAAACCAATCACCAAGTCTTAAAACACTCTAGGAGTAGGATTATGGTCCATGAAATGAACTGGAATCATCAAACCTCACAAGAACCACTATTCCTGGAGTAGGATTAGGGGCTTTCATTTTAAATTATCTAAAATCTTCTATTCCTGGAGTGATCAATATTCTTAGTGGGAGAACCACTATTCCTCAAAATCTTAAGGTTACTATGAAGGAGGCAAGCATTATGCAAAAGTTATAGTGTTCCCCTTACATTTAAGCTGGATGTAGAAATAATGTGTTTGGCATGTGGGCCTAAGTTATGCTGGTGTACAGCAAATACTAACACCATATTTCTTTCAGAACACAAAATATGATTTAACAAAAAAAGATGAAAATAGTAAATACAGATTTCAATTTGATTGGTGGTGTAATGCTTTTTGACAAACAAATTCCAAAAATGTTATTCAACAAGTCATTAATAAGACTCTACCTGCTCTGGCGTCAGGTCAAAATTCTTTCCACCAATGTTGAAAGAGATGACAGGCATGAAGGAGAGACTATCACAGTCAATAGCTGATTCACCCATGGGACTTGGTATTCTTTCGCATAACTGCAATTAAACTCAGAAAATTATACTAGACAACAAGCAAATTTCAGTGTTGTCAGGTGCAACTTCACCTCATTGAGGTAGCTCAAAATCTGCTCTAGTGTCTGGTTCAGCCTGAGCTGACTTTGCATCCATATGACTGCCATCTCACAGTAGGAGCACATGCCACCATCATTGAGGCCAGTAGCTAATTTCTCAACTTTGTTGTCAACCACACTCTTGATTCCCAGACTGCAAATACAAGTAAAAAGAAAGTAAAACACATAAATTTTGTTGATCATGACATGACAACATTTAAAAGAAATGCTGAGACTTCCTTTAATATATATGTTGCTAACACTACCTAGCTCCTTGAGTACTATTATAGGAACAAAGACCAATCTGAGAACAAATCTTTGATGGTTCTTCCTGTAATTGGAAGCCAAAGTCAGTGCGATTAGTTGTCACTTGATAAATAGATGAAAGTTTTTTTTAAAATATTAATATCTAGAGGACAATTTAAGCAACCTCTGCCAGTAACATGTCCATAATCTTTTCACCATATTGTGCAACTACAGCTTTGCACTGTTGGCTAACCACACCAGAAGCTCCAATTTTCTGATTAATCTCAGTGATAACAGTCTGCAAAAGAATTTTTCCAAGGACTTGTTAGCTACACCATTTTGACAATGACAGTGAATAAGGATAACGACTTTAGATCTAATAAGTGCATAATGAGAACAGAATCAGTCAGACAACATGATGTTGTTAGAAATAGCCCCTCCTATCTGAGACTATTTCGAAGAACAGAAAAAACTCCGAAGGTATTAATCTAATGACAAGCTAGGAACTTTCTTGCTGAAGAAGTTACAACAACATAGCAGAAAATTAATTAAAGCACTCTACGCCTCTCTGGGACTTTGTCAGATTTTGAACATCTGTTCACTCCTAATGTATATCTTCTATTCTTTAATCAGAATTTTATGATAATGTTTAGCTTCATTTTATGCCATTGGTTTCAGTACACCAGATAATAAATTCTGTAGCAGAACAAAGTTTAGAGTTGCTTGCAAGTATATTGGGCCATGGATGGTGGTAGGCTAAAGGTTTGGAATTTTAGGTCAAGTACTTCGAATGGCCTCCCACAGTATAGTACCAGGTCATCTCATGACTTGGCCTCGACCAGACTGGCACAAATTGCATTGCATCTCAAGATTCTCAACATACAAGTCATATCAAAGTTCAATTACATGAACCCTAACCAACATATCTCAAACACTACAAGTCATTAAATAGCAGATCAAGCACTACAAGTCATATTGGGCCATGGATGGTCGTAGGCTTATGGTTTGAAATTTTAGGTCAAGTACAGAAGACAATAATAAAATATGAGATGAGCTTCGAATGGCCTACTACAGTACAGTACCAGGTCATCTCATGACTTGGCCTCAACCAACCTGGCACATATTACATTGTATCTCAACAGACAAGTCATATCAAAGTGCCACTTACATGATAGAAATATCATCTCTCAAATACTACAAGTCTAAAGAAGAAAAAGACACTACATTAAATAGCAGAAACACTAGATGGGATGTGCATGGATCAAAAGTTATAAGAGAAATTGTACATACAAACTATAATAAGGCCCAGACTTACATCCTTCCATCAAATGTATTTATGCCCATGGAAAACTGCATGCTGCATTTATGTTCCTTACAAGCAAGATTTTGGAATATCTTTCCTAGAAGGTCTATTTGGTAAATGTAGCATTTTGAAGTATCACAGTAAGAAAGGCATATATGACACAATTTTTTTTTCGAAAGGCTTAGGGGACATAGCTTCCTGGAAGAGCAACAGTTATTGCATGCTCTATCAGGAAGATGTGATATAACTATGGGATACATGAAAAACAAAATTTAAAAATAAAAAATAGAAATTTTGGATATACATGTAATTCTTTCAGTACTTACTGTTGGCCCAGCAATCAATGAAGTTCCAGAATCTGCAATTGCTGAACAACCTCCAGAACAAAATCCTGAAATCAAATACGATATAAAGTCAAAAAAGTTAAAAGAAAGACTTCTTTCTGTATTAAAATAGATTACAAAAAAAAAGAATATAGAAAACTCATTGCACTACCAGTTGTTTGACTTCCAACAAGGACATCTTCCATGTTAAACTACAAGTGACAACTTCTGGATCAGATAGAAGATACAGGGGAAAAAAAAACGGATGTCATCAAATATAGATATGCAAAGCCAACCTGCCAATAACCTTTCTGAGTTACAGGTACATAAATGTGTTCGCCCTTGTAGTGCTGTGAGTCAACCCCTCCAAAAACAATTTCACCTCCTGCCCCTTCATTTACATTCCGGTTGAACCAGAAAGAGAAAATAGGCTCTTTAACAAGACTTTGATTGACAATGTTGTACCTGTTTAACAAAAAAATAAAGCTAATTTACTTTCATTGTTCCAGCATTTTTACACAGAATCAACCAGAACCGTGATAATTGGAGAACATGACAATTAAGATAACCCTTGCAAGAGATGACAGCTTAATGTTTAAGAGTTCAAAACTTTAAAATCATGCATGATAGTGTTTTAAATATCTGATACAATGTGTTTCTGCATGTTATCGGCATGATATGGCTCAGAGAGCTCCCTGGGTCAATCAAAATAGGCAAAAAAATTGACCAGATTATACCGTAAAATAGTCAGAACTGCCATGGCATGATTACATGAAGGCACGCAGCCTGGTTCAAACTTAAATTCTTGAGTCATAAAATAAATTTTGAAAAGTCATTACAAAAGAGTCTAATGATGACATGATTATAAAGGCTAAACCAAGGATTTGGATCTCAGTCTAATATCAGTTTACCTATTGGACTGGTATGGTATTGGTGTACCAGACACTATACATGCATTGCCTGATAACATCAAATAAAATAATATAAAAATAAATGGTATTATACCAGTATCGAGCTATATATTACGAGAAACACAAGCTAAAAAAATTGCCTATGATATTATTAAGCCTCAACAAACAATTTTTGAACTAGTCATCTGTTACTTATCAGTAGATATACTATCTTAACTCTTAAGACCATTTGGAACATCAAATGAAATATTACCATAATTCAGAAAATGAAATATTAGCTTTGTGTGATAATGGTTATTGGTTTTATAACTCATAGGGGTTTTTCCACTTTGATAGATATTGTAATGGTGATATATCCTTGCTCTTGTGTGGTTTTGTTAATTATTAGTCATAAAGCACAAATAGAGTGACAAATATGAACTTAACATCCCTCCTAACACACAAGCCAAAGATTAAAGTGAAACATAGGAGTGCAAACCAAAAGTTAATAGACTTGGAAAGAAACCCATATATGCATAAAACATGCTGGGAAATATTAAAGAAAGGGTATCCCCCTCACATTTAAGTCAGGGACCCAAGTGCAAGCCAAACAGTGATGAGCTTTACAAATGGTGTGCATCTGGGCAAAACATGCTGGCAATGATCCCAACTAAAAGGCAAACATGCAAGCCAAAAGTCTACAGATTTTGCAGAAGGACCTATATATGGGTAGACAACACTGGAAAAATTAAAGGAAAAGTGATGAATACAAGAGGATCCAGGGAAAGATCAAAGGAAAAGATATAATGGAGCGTCGGGATCTAAACCCATGACAAACTTAAGTACCACGAGTATACGCAGAGGTGGGTCACTTCTCCTAAAAGCTTATGCTAATAAGAGAGATGCTAACTTATATAAGCTCAAATATAAAGAAATGACTTCCAAAACTTCTTGTTACAATGAAAATAACATCATTTACACAATAATCAGAGTAACGTTAGCTAACTTGTTGAGTACCATATAGGTGTCACATTGCCAACTGAGATTTCTTCAAATCCAAGTCCAATAATTCCATCAAATTTTGCAGCCAAAAATGTTATACTTGGCTCCCTAGTGGCTTCAACAAAGACCTGAATGAGAAGGATGATTAGTTTGTATTATTCATTACATAAAGTAAAATGCATCAAATAATGAAGCTCCAAGTCTGATCCTAAATAACAATGTCATACACAATAGCATTGAATAGAAATTCCATAGGCTCCAGACCTGATCTTTTATAACAATGTCACCAATTGTGACATAATCTTGACTACAGAAACCTGATATTGATCCAGTCCCATAGTGAATATTTGCAGACTTCCCTGGTAACAACACAAAAAAAAAATTAGTTCCAAGTGTTGTATAAAATGGAAGCTGTCCATTAAACATCCCAGAAAATGGTAATGAATGCAATCAATTCTTATGCATAATATTTTTCTCAAAAATAATATAGATCACTACTAACGTAGAAGAAAATGTTCAATAGTTTTAAAAAAGATACAATAATATCATTGAATTGAGCACTATGATCTATGTGAAAAGTTCAAATTTCATAGTATCAAAAATTTTCAAGACACGGATAGTCACATATCTGACGAGTGATAGATATAAAAGGCAAAAAAACAAGGTGATATTCTTCTTTCTTTTTCTCTCGAAAAATCATATTATTCTTTTAATTCTTTTACCAACTTCTAATCAAAGCCTTATAATCAGGATTTGAATATCGTTTCACGTACCTCTCCTTTATAACTTTAGATGACCTATTGTGTTTTATTTCTTCTATCAAGCAGTAGACATTACTTTCTCATGGATTATATACATCATTCCTCTTTCTCCTTCAGGGGTGCCCCCTCTATATTAGACCAATTAGATCTTTGTTGGGATTTTTAACTCTATCAAATTCTTCTTCTTCTTTTTTATAATGGTTCTAACTTATGAGTTTTAAATGCTTGAATCCATAGTTTGCACTTTCACTAAACTGGTATATAAATTATATGGCATGTGCACTACTAATTTGCTGTAAGACATTATTTTAGACTAAGCCCATTCCTATTTTGCATTTATACTTTTATCAATAAACATTGTAGAGCCAACTTAAGTATAATTTTTTTGACTCCTCCCTGTTCTAATGATACATATCTAGGAATTGAAAATGAGGTAAGTTAATTCGGATGCGAGACAAAACTGAAAAGGGATGATTAAATAATGAGAAAATATTTGACGAATTTTCTCTTCTGAACGAAGGATAGTTACTTGCAAAAGAAATAAGCAGCTGAAAAGAATTTATGTAGGCGAACCCAAATTTTTGGGGGGGAAAGGACTATCTGGCGAGATTACAAGTGCGTTTAACATGCCACCAAATTCTGCTACCGAAAGAAAAAGGGGAAGAACGACGAACCATTCTTCTGATACGTGCTCGACTGGCTCGACTTGTACTTGGGATGGAAATAGCAGGCCACCTGCGCAACCAAAGTGAGCAAAATCTCGCCTTTCCATGTTTTTCTTCAAGAAAAAAGAAGATTAAACTGATGGATTACCGAGAAATAGCACTTGGAGGACGGAACCCACAAATTGGAGCTACCGGTGTCGAAGACCACCGTGAAGTTCTGCGGCGGAGAGCCGATCCCGATCTCCCCGAAGTACTGAGCATTCATGTAGTTCTTGAGGGCGACAACGTCGCCTGCATCGGGCCCCGCGGGTCCGTCCAGGCCAGGATCGAGGCGGAGACCATCTCGGTGGAGGGGGAGGCCATACTTACGGGCGGCTGGGGCAAGGAGCCCCTCGTCACGAGACAGCCGCGTCGCGAGCCGGCCGTTCTGGTCCAGCGGCCTCTTCTTCAGCCCGATCCTGACGAGTCCGTCGGCCGAGACGGCGAAGCCCAGCGAGATGACCACAAGGAGAAGAAGAAGAAGGCATGTCGGAAAAGCTCTGCCCGCCTTCATCGTGCGAGATTCGAATCATCGACGTACGACCGAGGGAACAAGAAATATATAGAACGCAAAATGTCATATATATCCCTTCAAATCTACCTATTTCTCTATTTACCCTTGTAAGTTTTAGTTTGTGTGCTCAAATTGACATATACACCCCTATCAAACTCAAAATGACATATACATCCCTGTAAATATATTAGCAGAATGATTTTTTTAATTAATATTTCTTCAATAAAATTATTATCTCCCTCTCAGCATATAATTTTATATTTTATTTATTTATCATTCGACGTAAATATATCCCATAAAACTTAAAAAAGTCACCATTGGCTAAACATATATCTCTTGAGATTATTCGAATGAAATGTAGATATCATATTAAAAATATATGGGAGGGGTTAATTTAGAAATTACAAACCTGGTACGTAAGGTTGACGGAGGCAATGGCAGCGATTGATGATGGCTCGTCCTGGAGATGGACGGTGGCGGGGCTCGAGCTCGTAAATGTTTCTGGCCCGGCCAAGGAGTCACGGCCAAGACATGTCGATGCAGGGATAATGATCCGACAGACAGACACCCACATCGCCCTCCACCAAGAGCCGGCGATGGCGATGGAGGCATAGGTGTATCATCCAAGGAGGTGGAGACGAAACAGCAGGTCGTGACAACGGAGGGCAGTGTCGTAGCGTCGGCCACCCACGTCACATCTGGTCTACTATTATCCCAAGTATAAAAGATGCTCTTCTTTGATTATTAGCATAAGTTGATGTCATCAACATATGAAGCTGTAATTAACTTACTTGCTCATTTCAATTAAACCTTTTAAGCATTAAAAAGACTAAAATGTCTTTACTTTTATTTATTTATTTATTTATTTATTTATTTATTATCAAAGATATTCTGAAGCTTTTTAGACATAATGCCATTAATAAAAATAGCTTTTAAAAAAATCATACCACATTTGACAAGCTAAATGGGTAAAGAATTTTTTGTGCCCTTATTTACAGTTGAAGACGATGCTTCCAACTCCGGACCTTAGCACCTTGGAACAACAATAACTTGGTCCCGGAGGAAGAGAGCCAAGGATGGCCAAAAACCATGCACCACTTGGCTAGCAATGTGCTTAGCAGCGGATTGACCTTTGATCTTACCTATACACTTGGGCATTATTCCTTTACATCATTTTCTGACTCTAATTCTGTACAAGAAGCAGGATCTTATCAGTCTCCGTTTCCACCAAGGGCCGGCAAGATGGTGCTTTGGTGCATCCATGGCTTCAAAAGTGGAGACACCCCTTTGATACAACTGCCCCTGAAGTTTTCCCCCTCACCATATCTTACACTTGGTACCTAAGAATATAAGTATTCACAGAAACGTGGTGGTAGCTGTGAAGAACACTACGCCTCCAAGCTTGTTCCAGGTAAGGTGCTTTTCTCTGGCTCAAAATTTGGACTGCTTCCTTGTAGACTTTCAGGTGAGTTCACCACCAAAACTTCTTGTCCGTGCATGCTGCTCGATGGAACATGTTCCTGCAAAACCTTCACATCTATTAGCCAATTATTTCCATAATACTAGATAAAAAATACTCGACAAAGAGACCGGAATGAATGGAGCAAACATGTGCATTTTAAACGTTATCTCACAGAGTGTAGGACAGAGAATTAGACGTATACACGTAAAAGGCCACAGATATCATAATACAAGTTTGCTTAGTAAATACTCAAACTAAAAAAATGAAAAATTAGTGAATTCCATAATCCACAAAATGAACAAAAGACTAGCAATGGTAGTATTGGAACGAAAGAAATTACAAGTCATAAAAATGGGTGGTCTAATAAATTGGTTTCCACCAATGCAAGATCTGAGATTGATCAATACAACAAGAGCTGTTGTTTTCACGATTCGAACCCTGGTCACCTAGAACATAAAGGAGCAAACCTCACCATACATCATTCATCATTCAAAAAAATCAATTTCAGAAAATTGATCCCAACCTCAAGAAACACAATGAAAGATTTAATCACATTTAGAACCATTTGAAATCATCTTACTAATATGGTAATTTCAGCCATTAACCATGAGATTCAATGAAAAAGAAAACTAAAGAAACGTCAAAAAGATAAAAATGTGAAATTGGAGTTGAGTTTTTCTTTCCATGCTTAACTGCATAAATATGCGTACAACTACTATATATGAAGACTGATGGTGCAAACAATTCATATGCAGTTAAAAGCAAACCATTAATTTTAGCCTTTGCATGTGCACAATCAGATATCTTGCAGATTATCACAATCGTACAATTTGCTGTGTATTCAGCACTATATATTGCTTGCGAAAAAATAAACACAAAAAGGCACATTTGGTATTAGGGTCCAGAACATCGACTTCAATTCATCAAAAAGATTATGGTGAGCCCTAACAATCTCGTATGCTAATATAAGAATTATTAAATAGTGGCATTTAACCTTCACCAGCAGAGATAACAAATCTGAAAACCATTTTCAATGCCAGATTTTATACATCCAGCATGTTAGACTGCTTTCCCATATAACTCTCAGGAATTGTTTGGTCTCTTACCTGATCACCAGCCTCTGCTCCCTCAAAATAAAAAAGAATAGGTCGGCATCTCTTATCCTCATTCATCAAACTTGAGTTCTGGAAGTGGGTAACTAGTGCTGATCTACCCTGGATTCGTGCATATGCCAGAGAAGCAACCTTCTCACTGTTAAACTTCTCCCACTTCTTTCCATTGAAAGCCTGAACATGTATTCAGAAGGTTATTGAAGATATCCAACTCATATAATTTTGGATATTTAGTAGGCCTACTTTACACTTTCCATATACTTCCTCAGCAACCTATAAGCATTTTAGATAGTAGTCCTAACTAGAAGTGTGCCAGCAAATAGGGAACAGAATGCAACCTTGTAAAAGGAGATTATGTGTGACGGAGACACCATGTTTATAAATGCATAACCCACATTGCATTTATTCTGCAAACATAAGAGTCAACATTTAGTTTAGTTTAAGAAGGCATTATTATCGAAACCACTGCATTAAATTTTGTGCAAATCACCTTAAAATCAATTGGCAAGTACAGAAAGTCATAAGTGCCTTTGTGAGATTCATCTATTGCAGCTAAAAGCATCTTTGAGGTGTACCTAAGGAATAATTAAAAGCCCAATTTAGTTTATGATTCTGAATGCATGATAGAAAACACAGTATTATAATATTTTTGAAAATATACTTATTTGGAATGTTTTTTATCATTATCGTCGTCCGAGTGTCTTCCCCCTTAATAATTTTGTCCAGATCAAGCTGATATTGCTGTTTGTTATATGTTAGATTCCAGTGGTTTTCAACTTGCCGACTGTGGTACTGATCAACTAGACTATCAATGCCTACGGAACTTAGTCCAGGATATGGAGCATTGCCAAAGAGCGTAGGCCCAAATCTTGGAGCAGGCATCATCCTCATATTGGTTGCATTATTAGCTGGCATGCTTCCTGATAAGATGCCGTGATTCACTGTGAACAGAGGAGTCATATTCATAACTGAAGTCCCATCATTTCCATTAGATCGAATATTTCCAAATGCAAACTTATTCATGAGGGAAATCTCTGGTGACTCAGGAAAATACTCATACTGACTCTCAAAAGGAACAACAGATGGAGCTGACCCAACATGATGGGGATGCTGATTGTGAGATGATCCCATGAATGAGCCATGGTAACTTGAATAGAGAAAGCCTTTCCCTTGCCCTTGTCCATTTGACATGAATGATATTCCTGTAGCTCCTGACTGCCTGGTGAATGACTCTGGTTTTTCCATGTACGAAGTTGAATTACCCCAGAGAAATTGTGGGCCAGTCAGAGTCCCAACACCAGAAGACTTTGTAGTAGTAGGACCAAAAGAAGTTAAATTTCCAGGAGCTGTGGTCATCATTCCACAACTATGATCTGGGAAGGAATGGGAATGCTGATACCCACCATGTAATAGACTGCTACTAGAGATTACATGGTCAGCATGATTGACCCTATTTTGGTCCTTGCCAATAGGTGCAATCTTGGCAGATGATATCAGCGAAGGAAGTACAGAACCCGATGTAGTCAAATGATTACTCCCAATAGGGCTACTTGCTAACCCACTGGGGGACTTACTGAGAACTTGTAGTGGACTGTTATCATTTGCACTATAGTGTGCCCATGGACCTGTCATTCAAAGAGGCATCCACAATTCAACTCATAAAAAGGACAAATTACAAATACAGGCTAAGAGTTCTAAAGAGAAATAAGGATAACACTGCCAGATATCAACGGTGCATACTAGCAACTATACCTGGAGGTGAATTGGTAACAGGTGAACCCCCATGATGCCAATAAGCTCCACTTTCATCTTGTTCTAATTCATGAGTCAGTTGTTGCATTAAGCTGTTTAGAAGATTGAGCTTTGAGCATTTCAGTAGAAGAATAAGAATTCCAAAGAGAATTTTGACTGTAAAAACCATCCATCACAGTAGGCAAATAGAAAATAACCCAAACTATCAACTTGAGGTAGAAGACAAATTTTGTTGTCAAACTTCAAATGACATCACCATCAGAAGTTAAACTGATTTGTCTAGAGTAACTAGTCACCAAAAGATTTACAAGAATGTAAACAATTTGCATATAGGAAATAATGGTATATGACCATATGCTTTGTCAGTGCTTCTTAGTACAACTAGTGATATTGTGAGTAAATGTAATCATACGAAAATCCAGCCTAGACAAAATAAGAATCCTTAATAGAACAGAACTCTCCACCTTCTTCCAGGTCCATATATTACCAAGAATATAATCCTGTAGCCTTCTAAAAGCACAAAAGACCCACTCTTTTATGTATAATGATGGCTCTGAGTTATTTTCATGCTCAAATAAAGAGGAATATAAATATCGGACGAGGGTCCATTCAGGACATCAAATTTAAGTGGTAAACTAACTCATTCATAACAGCACACAACTTCTCTGACTCTAGTTTTAATGAGATAATATTTCTGATAAACTGAGAGAAGCAAACTTCATAGAGTCCCAAGGTGAAAGTCACCCACTCATGACGTGAAGATCTACATCAAACCCACATTTTGAACTACTTCAAGATTGTTACGGTCAAAGGGCAAAATAGTTTTACCGCTCACCATATGGGTACTTGAAAATAATTCCTATTGAACAAAGTTGATGAAGATTTAGCTAGCGATTTTAAAAGGCGCTCGGGCGAGGCGAGACGAGGCCCAAGCGCCTCGCTAATCTCCCAGGCGGCGCGCTTCAAACGGGCGTCGCCTGGGCGCTCGCCAAGCCCAGGCGTTGGGCGCTTCGGGCGAGCACCCGGGTTAACCAAGGCGACCGAACCAGGATTTTAGGTCTGGTTCGGTCCTGGTTCGGTCTATAATGGTTAGTTGGTTCAATCGAACCAACTAAAACTGATATAAGTGACAACCAAACCCTAACCCTCGCTGATGCCGATCCCGATCCCGCTGCTCGCAAACGCTACCGTTGTCGCTGCTCGCAAACGTTGCCGCTGTCGCCGCTCGCGCCTCCCGCTGCTCGCCATTATCGTTGCTCGCAAACGCTGCCGCTATCACCGCTGCCGCTTCCTCTTTTCTCAGTCAGCAGGCTCAGCACCCCTTTACACTTCCTTTTAACAGTATACGTATACTGTATACTGTTAATATTATTAAGTTTATTTGAAATGATTAATTTTCAATACTGTTAATAGATTAATAATATATTATTTTGATTTTAATACTGTTAATTTTTTTTATTTGAAACTTTTTATTAATGTGATATTGTGATTTTGTATCTTAGATTTTCTTAATTTAATAGCATATTTTTATTTAAAATTTTAAATAATTATATTTATTAATTATATTTTATATTTTTATATTTTAGCGTCTCACTTCGTTCGGACGAGCACCTAGCGCCTCGGGCGTTTTTGGACCTTGACGCCTAGCGCTTTTTAAATCACTGGATTTAGCCAATACACCACCTAATTACCATGATGGTAGATATTTATTCTATCATTGCTTTTATTTATCCAGATGCTCAGAACATTAATGGTGTTCTAAATTCCTTTACTAGAGGTACCATGTCATGATAACAGTTGAATTAATAAATATTAGCTAACAATTGGTGCTTCATTCAGAACCAAATTTTGGAAAAGATAAAGTTTGTGATCAGATCTATTAGAATATCTCAACTTATCTCCATCGTGCAACCACCACAAATGCAATTCAATTCAAAGAAATAATTTGTGGTATCCATGTCCCTAGAACATCTAATCACCATCAGGTAGTAGGCATGCAGTGACCATCCAGAGTGCAACACGTGCAGCTCATGCAATTCACAGTATAATATTATGCCAAATTGATAGACTCATTAGATGTACATATGTAAGTCTGGGTAGCTTCCAGCCTCAACCACTTGGCTAGTGGAATGGGCCTTCTCTACTGGAACTACAGGTTTTTAATTCAGGCCCATCACATGTCATCCTGTGAACAAAATCTAGTTTTACATTGTTGAAGTTTTTGTTACACAATAAAAACTATTTACATATATATGTTCAATGATTCAAACCTTTGTCGATACCAGTTTCGATACTACTGGATTGGTACAGTACCAGTATATTACACAGTATGCCAACTCATCCATCTGGTAACATTAAATAAAATTATAAAAAATAAAAATGATGACTGAACTGGTATCAAGCTATATGTTTCAATAATGGTACTCTGTCAAATAGGAAAATAACAGTCCATAACGATTGGTATGATTGAGAATTGAATTCTTACTTATATACAAACATACAATCATTAAGCAAAAGACAAGCTTAACTCCATGGTCCCTATTTGTCCAAAACATTAGGATGAAAAGTAAGATAAAAAAATTATAAACTATAAATCTAAAATACTTAGTTATTCTTTGATTAATTACAAAGACCATACATTGAACTCAGTTGCATGATAGCTAATCTGGATTATTTAGCAGTTCAAGTAGGTTACAAATGCCTCCATACATGCTCATCTTTACAAATACAAGAATGGTCATTTATAGTACATAACGCTGATAGATTTGTATATCATAGAACACCTAAATTAGTCCAGAAATTCATCACCACTTGAAGAAGTATACCAATTACAAAGATGACTTCTCTAAACAAGAAAAAACACAGTGCTTTTACCGTTTCCAGAAAACTCAAACATATTGTTGCTTAGTTACAGACCACAATAAGAAATTAGAAAATAACTGATGTTTCAAAGTTTCTTTCCTAATGAAAAGGGCAATCCTAGTGCACAAGGATATTGTTAATATGGAACTTAGGAAGGGTCAATACACAGTGTCATCTTTGCAAGCAAACAGGCTGTTCTTATGACTCAAACCCTAGTCACCAAGTCACAAAGAGGCTTACTCTATGACTCAGAATGTCAAACATAAAGATTCAGAACACATGATCTTTAATAAGGAGCAACCACAAAAAGATTGGAATATCGTTAACAGAAAACCATGATTGAGACTGTTTCCCCATGCATGTCAAGCTTTTAAGTTAAAAGCATGAAACTAGAAGTTCGTAGAACTTATATAAACTAAAGATTTTAAGCTACTAGTGCTATTAAAGAAAGAGCAGCTATAGACTGTAATAGTATTTCTCTTCCAAGGTAAAGAATATACAAAAATTAAAATCATGTACATACTTCCTACGAGCTCCCCCAGGGCGGCTAGGTTCTAGCTTTATTCGTTTGCCAGCAATGTCACTCATGTTCAATGACCGAAGGGCAGCTTCTGCTGCTCTGACATCATAGAACTCAATAAATTTGTGGTGCCGCTTGTGAGGAGTTTCCCTTATCTGCCTCACAGTAACCAACATTTTTGCACAGGACTCAGAGGCTAGTAACCTTATGGGAAAATTAATTTCTGGGAAAAAATTCATAAGAAAAAATCTCCCACCTCTTTAACTTCCCCATATGCCCCAAAAATTTGCCTGAGATCATCATTAGAAACTGAAGAATCCAAATTAAATATCACAAGAGTTCCTTGGTTCATATCTTTTTCCGTTGGGTTATCCTGAAAATTAAAGAGACAACAAACGAGCAATGGAAAATAAAAAGTGTTACAGATACTAAAATAAATTGAGAAAGTATCTGTAATCAGACCTTTGGAATAGAAAAATGGATGTCAAGCTTTCTACGTCTCAAGGGCTTGTTCTGCAAAGCACGCATGGCAGTTCGTGCAGATCGAATATCATAGTAAGATATCATCACAAATCCCCTGTGTTTGCATGCAGTATAAAGACTTCGGATGGCCCCATATTGCTTAAATGAGACAAACAGTATGATGTCAGAAAAATGACCAGAAAAAATTAAAAGAAATTAATAGGCAAGAAAAATTTTATGTTATAGAAGAATATTTCATACAAGGCCATAAAACTAGCATACTCACAAAATCGGCCAAATAACTGGCATTGTGCATGAAAGCAGACAGCAGCATCGCAATGCAGAGAGTCGTCAGTTGAGCAGAAAAAAAGGGAGTGCACACTAGTTTTATCATTGTAACATATCATGACTAAAAATAAAAATTTATATAAAAATTATTTTATCATAATTTAAAACCTAGTAATTCATCCTAGCTTAACAAATGCATTGTGTCATAACAAAATCATGTATAGTTTTCTAACAAATTGTAGTATGTATAATTCCTCTTAGGTGTTATGATAAATCATCTTAGACTAGATATTCCTTGTATATGAATTTGACATGTTAATTTATAAGGTTGATGCCAGCTCGAAAGCAAGTCATAAATTTCTGTTTAAATGCTTTATGAAGCTTTCTCAATCTTGAGTTATGCTCTGTAGTGGAACCAATCACTGGCAAGAAAAAGCTTGAAGATGATAATGCTGACAACTGCAAAAATAATAAATCACCAGGTGTGCTGCATCATGCCAGCTGTTCTAAGTGTAAGGAGTACCCAGTACATCTGCATGATAGACAAAAAATCTGGCATCCAACAGCATAGGAGGGTACATGACTTCTGATCCTTTAAAAGAATGCACTATGTTACAGGATTCTTCAATTATTTGTGCAAACATGAAAGGAAGAGAGAAAACTGCCGTTCATAGATAAGGTCTTCCTTCAAACCACATAGTGACATAAAACACTACACTGCACTTCAACCTAAACTTAAAGCTCTCTGGTTTGTCTTCCTATCTTCTATTGATACAATATGTTTACCTAAATAAAGTTCATTTGTTTCTGTCACTGATGCTTCCAACCGTCAGTAAAAGCTCTGGCAGAGTCCTACTCACAGCACCTTTGGATGAAAGGCCACACAGCTCATAAAACTATTGTGGCCATTACTAACATCAAAGTATGGATTTATGGATCAAGCACTAGGATTTGTAAGCTTCCAAATTGTCTCAATGAACTTCTGGTATCATCCAAGGAATCTCCAACTGAGTTACACTCACATATAAGTTAGATAGGCTTAACATTTTAGTTTTCAGAGGTTTTCTTCCTTAACCAGCATGTGAGGTGTTATCAACTATCAAGGCATGAGACTATAATGGAGTAAACCCATATATCCATTCTCTTCTACAATTCTTTTGCTCTATATTTTCAATTTCAGAACCTTTTGTCTTCTCTTTTTCCAAGCAAGAGTTGATTTGGAATCCTCATCTCTTCCGCAGCCCCTAAATCATAATGATAAGAGTCCATAAAGAATTTCAACTTCATCTTAAGTAAGGTTCAGCTGAAATGGTAGAAGGATAAGTATTATCCGATCAATCAATGTGAAGATCAAAATCAACATTAGACATAATTAAATTCCAAAAAAAGAAAAAATGTATGTTGTCATATAATAGATCATAACTAGTTTTAACATGATTTGTTGAATAGGTAAGGTATATATATTCACACAGGAAATCATGAATTGACTTCTCACCATGCCAACAAAATTAATTTCTATATGTGATTATCAAACAATCAAGCTTTTCTTCAAAAACCACCTACAGTTATTAGAAATAGCTACAAGGATATGGACAAGAAATATAGCCTTTACAATGAAAAATCAGATGCAAGGGAAAAAATATTTTCTTCCAATCACTTAATTCTGTTGGACTAGGACATATATACTTAATCATTTTATTGATACATTTGCTTGCACAAAGATAATGAACATTCAGTATTAGTAAGTCTCTGTCGGCATGGATAACCAGAACAGGGAACTCCTCGAATATCAGAGAAGGAAGTTCAGTAGCACTGGTGATGATATTCAACAATGTACTAAGGGCCTATGAGACAATGAAGCAGCTACTAAGAAGATAGAGTAAACAAATATTCCACAAAAACAAAATAACCAAGCAATGAGCTACTTTGTTTGATGATTCTCTGTGATAACTTCTACCAACCAACCCAAATATCCCAAAAGAAAAACTTCAACAGTGATGCTAAGAAGCCTAAAATATTATAAGACCAACAATTTATCTTTTATTATGTTCAAGTATATCAATATGGAAAATCAGTATAGCTGAAGTGTTGCTGACACACAGAAAAAGTGCTTCCAGATGGGTACCACTAGAACAATCAGGAAACTTATTTAGTAAAATGATAAATAAGAACATTTTTCTTAACATTGTGCATGATATTCATCAAATGCAATTTACCAGTGCTTGCAGCTCAGCATTAAGGTATGTATAGGCTTAAGCAGGAAAACAGTAACATAATTATAGTATAAAACTACCTCAAAGAGTGACAGCAGTTCAGAATCTTCAACATTGCTGTTGATATTCCGCACAAACAAAGTTCTTGAAGGATGCTCTCCATATGGGTGCTCTCCTGAAATAGGCCCAACACCATTGTGAAGACTGTGCTGATTAGTCCCGTTGCCTAAAAAACCATCAGAGATGCTTGCCTTTGCTATACCAACTGTGATGCTCTCCGTAGAATCAGAATCCAATTCCATACCCCCTAAACTGCCAAAAAGGTCATACTCTTCCAACTCATCAACTTGACTAGGCAATCCACTGAGGTCAAAATCATTCATTATGCCAGACAAAAGTGCTTCTTCATCATCAGGTAACAAAAGCCCAGTTCCTTGAAGGTTGAGATCATCCACAGAGACCTTACCTTCGACATCTTTGCTTGGCTTCTTCGATTTAAAAGATGCATCAACTGTGGATTGAACACCACCCAATGCATTTGCAAAGTTCACTGAATGACATACAGCATTCATAAAAGACAAATAGTAAACTTAACAGAAACTGGCAGCTAGATATCGAACATCAAATACAGAAGCATACATTTATCATGTCGAAGACCCGGCAATGAGCTAGAAAAGAGGCTAGCATCACTTGATCCATAAAGCACGTTGGAATGAATTTCCCAAGCATCATCGGCCTTCTTTAGGTTTTTCACTAATTTGATATTTGAAGAACCTGTGATTAGGGTCAGACATAAATATACAAACGATTTCCGATGAAATAAATTACTCTACAATATCATAAAGAAAGGCAGGTTGTACGAGAAGCAGAACATCAAGGGATGGTGTTCATTACAACCAAGTTGGGCAAGATGGTGTTCATTACAACTTACGTATTGGAACTGGATTCTCCGAAGTTTGCTCCATTGTACTTCCTCTACAATATCATAAAGAAAGGCAGGTTGTACGAGAAGCAGAACATCAAGGGAAAAGGTTTGCACTGTAGACAGTCAAGAGAAGAGAGAATGATGTGGCACAGCTCTTATGGTACATATAGAACAATTAAGGGACAATAAAAAACGACTTCTGATGGTTTACTTCAACATATGGATATTTCATTGTTCTTTCATGAAAGGCTTATAAGATCCTTCTGATGTAAGAGTTCCAATAAACTTGAAACAATACACTAGCTAACTAATGCAACACCACCAAATAATTATCCACGCACGACATCATGTGACTGTTTCTCCAACTCCACAGACCCACGTACCACAAATTGAAATTCCAACGTCCCGTAAAGAGCAATGGCAATGAACTATGACGATGAAAAAAGATCAAATCCACCAGATAAACAGAGTAGATGAAGGTGCAGAGAAAACAGAACATATGTTGACAATCTGCCCCAGCATTTCTCATTCATGGACCCCAAAAATCATAGTACGATATTATTCATACAATCAGAAACAAGTAGGAAGATTCATCTAAGAAACGTGGAAAATCTGAAAGATGACAGTTCAAATAAAACTAAGTTCTACGTAGCGACACAAATATGCACCAAATAACAAAAGAAAAATCCGTAAAAATGCCCTAATGTATCCCTATTTCAGCACTCAAGCAACAAAAGATTCAATTTTCCACCATATCACGACCAAGAATCCAAGAAAAAGATATTTCCATCACGGAACTAAGACAGAACGGCCGCTTACCAAGCGAAACAACTCAGATTCGCATCGGGGACGCCCTAAACTCCCCGGAGACAAGAACCAACGCCCGCAGTGCACTCCCGCCGAACTCGAACCAGATTACCCAACAAAATCACTCGAGGACCCACGACGACCCGACCCGACCAGACCGGCCGAAATCACGAGCACAATCCAAGAAAGAGAGCCCATTGTCCCTCACCTTCTAACTCCATTGCCGCTCGGTGCCGGGTACGCCTTCTCTCTCTCTCTCTCTCTCTCTCTCTCTCTCTCTCTCTCTGTCCGGCACACAAAAGAGGCAGACGGTGCGATGATTGGAGAACGATCGCGAGAGGATTTTTATGTTCGTATTCGGCTGTCTGTTTCGATTGTTTAGGGATTCAACTGTACTCGAATGGGATTTGGCGTCCGTCGCCGTCGCCGAACCCTTTCGCTCGGCCTTATCGTGCGTGGGCTCGATGTGATCAATAGCGTAAACAGGAGAGCATTGTGACATGGAGAGAGTGCACGGGATCCCCTGATCAACAATGTCGAGTTGGATGGTTGTTTCGTGCTGTACTCACACATCGGTTGTGGATGATGCAGTGTGGTTTCCCTCCTCTAATAATTCTAACAATAATAATATTATTATTATTATTATTATTATATATTAATGCTGGTGGTGATTGAGTTGATAGTTATTTAGTAGATCTGATACATCATTATTTTATTAAGAAAACATTGATAAATGTATTTATTGTTATGAAATTTGAGATCAATCTTTTAATCTATTGGTCAAAGTTACTATGTAAAAGGATCTCGTATCGTTTGATTTGATACAAATTCCATCGTTTATGGGATTGATTTGATTGTCTTTCATCAAAACGTATCAATAAACATATAAGTTTTTTTCTCTCTGGGATTGATTTGAATTGATTTGATTATATTTTATGTTATAATAAATAGGATTGCAAAGATACAAATTTTTTCTTTCTTCCTCCTTTCACTTTTACACTATCAAATTAAAATATTATCTATCTTATTAAGTTGAATCAAGATAAATAATATTAGATATAAGATCACAAAGCATTAGTACTCTACACTTTCACATGAAAAATAACGTAAAATAACATGAAAGTTTAATTATTTAGTATTTAGCATAATAATTCATATCTGGTTTGCCTGAATTCCTAAATTCAAGTGCTAATTCTTTTTTTTTTTTGTAAAATTTTTGGAACATGTATTTACTTTTTGGAAAAATAATTATTACCCTAATTCTCATGTGACCCTTGCAAATTATGGAAGCATTAAGTCTAAATCCAATGATGGCTTCATGCACCATTGATCATGCCCTATATGGAGCAATAATTATACTTAATTATAAATCATAGAAAAGAAGAAAAAAAAAGATCATCTACTTTTGTTCATCAACTACTTCAGTCCTAACAAAAATAAAAACAAAACTCACTAATCTTTAAACCAAGATACGTAATATCGTATCGTATCGATGTTTCGAAGTTGGCTCGGTACGATTCGGTACTAGTGTATTAAGCGGTACATCAGGGCTTATCGAATGACTTTAAATATTTCTTCCTTTTACTATAGCACAGTAACACAGCTACAGTATTACACTGTAGCACTGTAGCATGATCCGTTCGATAGTGAGCAATCCGCGTACCAATATACCGTCGGACCGATATGTACCGTCCGTATTGAACACCACAACTTTATTTATTTTATGGCACCACAACCAACCACTAGCAAAGAAGAAGATGTTGTATGAAGAATGTTGGATTGATAGCCTATATTTAATAGGTTACATATCATACAATAGGCTTCATTATTAGTCCAATGCTGGATTGATAGCCTATATTTAATAGGTTAATTTGAATGTGTGTTGGTCCACGTTTCAATGTTATTATCTCCTCCCTCATCGATAAGAATAAGTTCTTATTATCGTACTTTTGTGATTTCCTCGAGTCAAAATTAATATTAAGTTCAAAATTTAGGATTTGGAATTGTCGATTAAAAAATTATCGATTTTGAAATCGAAACTATCGTTTCCGTATACTAATTTAATATGCTTTAACAACTAATGCAGTATTAATACTGATTTAGGAATCGATATTTTTATTAAAAATGCAAATTATTAAAATGTATTGAAAAATGAAAGATGGTTTTTTCTTTGCTGACACTAATGAGCTCCAAAGAATCAGAGAGACTCCAAACATTCTTCCCCTGTATTTAATCCTTTGTAAATAATTAGGATGAAATAAACCATTAGTGCCTAAAATGGTTGATAAGATAGAGAGAGAGAGAGAGAGAGAGAGAGAGAGAGAGAGAGAGAGGGGGGGG